GCCCCCCTTCCCTCCCTCCCTCCGTGAAAGCAAGGGCAGACAATCGTTTCGCGCCTTTTTTCCTGAGTTACCTGTGCAGACGCCATACCACGGCAAGCATGGAGCCCGCTCAGGTAACCGTCACCGTATGTCTCCTGGGTGCTGGAAGACGCGGTACGGCATTGCTACACAGTAGCAGCAACCCATTGCCTTCTGGCAGCAGACGGTGCAGTATGACTGGTAGCCGTTCTCGTCGTGTCCGAGGTGCTCCTGGCCACATCGGCTGGGAGCGCCTGGGCAGACATGGGCGCAGGGACTAAATTTGGAGTGACTTGACCAGGTCATTCTCTTTAGTCCTGCAGTCAGTCCTATTGAACTGTCTCATGGTGAGCAGGCAGGCGATACGGATTGCTAGCAGTCCTATTGCATCATCTTCTGCCGGGCAGGCAAGAGATGAGGATGGCTAGCAGTCCTACTGCACCATCTTCTGCTGAGCAGCCATGAGATGTGGATGGCATGCAGTCCTTCTGCACCGTCTGCTGCCAGCCAAAGATGTAAAAGATAGATGGAGTGGATCAAAACAAGAAATAGACCAGATTTGTTTTGTACTCATTTGCCTCCTCCCCTGTCTACGGGACTCATTCCTCTAGGTCACACTGCAGTCACTCACAGAGAAGGTGCAGCGAGGTAAATCTAGCCATGTATCAATCAGAGGCCAGGCTAACCTCCTTGTTCCAATAAGAACAATAACTTAGGTGCACCATTTCTTATTGGAACCCTCCGTGAAGTCTGCCTGAAATACTCCTTGATGTAAAGCCACCCCCTTCGTTGATTTTAGCTCCCTGAAGCCAACCCTGTAAGCCGTGTCCTCAGTCGCCCCTCCCTCCGTCAGAGCAACGGCAGACAATCGTTCCGCGCCTTTTTTCTGTGCGGACGCCATACCAAGGCAAGCATGGAGGCCGCTCAGCTCACTTTGGCAATTAGGAGCACATTAAACACCACACGCATTATCCAGCAGTATATGCAGCACCAGAACCTGGCAAAGCGATACCGGGCGAGGAGGCGATGTCAGCGCGGTCACGTGAGTGATCAGGACATGGACACAGATTTCTCTGAAAGCATGGGCCCTGCCAATGCATGCATCATGGTGCTAATGGGGCAGGTTCATGCTGTGGAACACCGATTCTGGGCTCGGGAAACAAGCACAGACTGGTGGGACCGCATAGTGTTGCAGGTCTGGGACGATTCCCAGTGGCTGTGAAACTTTCGCATGCGTAAGGGCACTTTCATGGAACTTTGTGACTTGCTTTCCCCTGCCCTGAGGCGCAAGAATACCAAGATGAGAGCAGCCCTCACAGTTGAGAAGCGAGTGGCGATAGCCCTGTGGAAGCTTGCAACGCCAGACAGCTACCGGTCAGTTGGGAATCAATTTGGAGTGGGCAAATCTACTGTTGGGGCTGCTGTGATGCAAGTAGCCCACGCAATCAAAGATCTGCTGATATCAAGGGTAGTGACCCTGGGAAATGTGCAGGTCATAGTGGATGGCTTTGCTGCAATGGGATTCCCTAACTGTGGTGGGGCCATAGACGGAACCCATATCCCTATCTTGGCACCGGAGCACCAAGCCGCCGAGTACATAAACCGCAAGGGGTACTTTTCGATAGTGCTGCAAGCTCTGGTGGATCACAAGGGACGTTTCACCAACATCAACGTGGGATGGCTGGGAAAGGTACATGACGCTCGCATCTTCAGGAACTCTGGTCTGTTTCAAAAGCTGCAGGAAGGGACTTTATTCCCAGACCAGAAAATAACTGTTGGGGATGTTGAAATGCCTATATGTATCCTTGGGGACCCAGCCTACCCCTTAATGCCATGGCTCATGAAGCCATACACAGGCAGCCTGGACAGTAGTCAGGAGCTGTTCAACTACAGGCTGAGCAAGTGCAGAATGCTGGTAGTATGTGCATTTGGACGTTTAAAGGCGCGCTGGCGCAGTTTACTGACTCGCTTAGACCTCAGCGAAACCAATATTCCCACTGTTATTACTGCTTGCTGTGTGCTCCACAATATCTGTGAGACTAAGGGGGAAACGTTTATGGCGGGGTGGGAGGTTGAGGCAAATCGCCTGGCTGCTGGTTACGCGCAGCCAGACACCAGGGCGGTTAGAAGAGCACAGGAGGGCGCGGTACGCATCAGAGAAGCTTTGAAAACCAGTTTCATGACTGGCCAGGCTACGGTGTGAAAGTTCTGTTTGTTTCTCTTTAATGAAACCCCCCGCCCCTTGGTTCACTCTACTTCCCTGTAAGCTAACCACCCTCCCCTCCTCCCTTCAATCACCGCTTGCAGAGGCAATAAAGTCATTGTTGCTTCACATTCATGCATTCTTTATTCATTCATCACACAAATAGGGGGATGACTACCAAGGTAGCCCAGAAGGGGTGGTGGAGGAGGGAAGGAAAATGCCACACAGCACTTTAAAAGTTTACAACTTTAAAATTTATTGAATGCCAGCCTTCTTTTTTTGGGGCAATCCTCTGTGGCGGAGTGGCTGGTTGGCCGGTGGCCCCCCCACCGCGTTCTTTGGCGTCTGGGTGTGGAGGCTATGGAACTTGGGGAGGAGGGCGGTTGGTTACACAGGGGCTGTAGTGGCAGTCTGTGCTCCAGCTGCCTTTGCTGCAGCTCAACCATACACTGGAGCATACTGGTTTGGTCCTCCAGCAGTCTCAGCATTGAATCCTGCCTCCTCTCATCACGCTGCAGCCACATTTGAGCTTCAGCCCTCTCTTCAGCCCACCACCTCTCCTCCTGGTCATTTTGTGCTTTCCTGCACTCTGACATTATTTGCCTCCATGCATTCGTCTGTGCTCTGTCAGTGTGGGAGGACAGCATGAGCTTGGAGAACATTTCATCTCGAGTGCGTTTTTTTTTCTTTCTAAGCTTCACTCTGGGAAGGAGAAGATCCTGTGATCATTGAAACACATGCAGCTGGTGGAGGAAAAAAAAGGGACAGCGGTATTTAAAAAGACACATTTTATAAAACAGTGGCTACACTCTTTCAGGGTAAACCTTGCTGTTAACATGACATACATAGCACATGTGCTTTCGTTACAAGGTCGCATTTTGCCTCCCCCCACCGCGTGGCTGTCCCCTCAATCTTCCCCCCTCCCTGTGGCTAACAGGGGGGAACATTTCTGTTTAGCCACAGGCAAACAGCCCAGCAGGAATGGGCTCCTCTGAGTGTCCCCTGAAGAAAAGCACTCTATTTCAACCAGGTGACCATGAATTATATCTCACTCTCCTGAGGATAACACAGAGAGATAAAGAACCGATGTTGTTTCAACGCCAGCAAACATACACTGCAATGCTTTGTTGTACAATGATTCCCGAGTACGTGTTACTGGCCTGGAGTGGTAAAGTGTCCTACCATGAAGGACGCAATAAGGCTGCCCTCCCCAGAAACCTTTTGCAAAGGCTTTGGGAGTACATCCAGGAGAGCCGCGAATGCCAGGGCAAAGTAATCCTTTCACATGCTTGCTTTTAAACCATGTATAGTATTTTAAAAGGTACACTCACCAGAGGTCCCTTCTCCGCCTGCTGGGTCCAGGAGGCAGCCTTGGGTGGGTTCGGGGAGTACTGGCTCCAGGTCCAGGGTGAGAAACAGTTCCTGGCTGTCGGGAAAACCGGTTTCTCCACTTGCTTGCTGTGAGCTATCTACAACCTCATCATCATCTTCTTCGTCCCCAAAACCTGCTTCCGTATTGCCTCCATCTCCATTGAAGGAGTCAAACAACATGGCTGGGGTAGTGGTGGCTGAACCCCCTAAAATGGCATGTAGCTCATCATAGAAGCGGCATGTTTGGGGCTCTGACCCGGAGCGGCCGTTCGCCTCTCTGGTTTTCTGGTAGGCTTGCCTCAGCTCCTTCAGTTTCACGCAGCACTACTTCGGGTCCCTGTTATGGCCTCTGTCCTTCATGCCCTGGGAGATTTTGACAAAGGTTTCGGCATTTCGAAAACTGGAACGGAGTTCTGATAGCACGGATTCCTCTCCCCATACAGCGATCAGATCCCGTACCTCCCGTTCGGTCCATGCTGGAGCTCTTTTGCGATTCTGGGACTCCATCATGGTCACCTCTGCTGATGAGCTCTGCATGGTCACCTGCAGCTTGCCACGCTGGCCAAACAGGAAATAAGATTCAAAAGTTCGCGGTTCTTTTCCTGTCTACCTTGCCAGTGCATCTGAGTTGAGAGTGCTGTCCAGAGCGGTCACAATGGAGCACTCTGGGATAGCTCCCGGAGGCCAATACCGTCGAATTGTGTCCACAGTACCCCAAATTCGAGCCGGCAAGGCTGATTTAAGCGCTAATCCACTTGTCAGGGGTGGAGTAAGGAAATCGATTTTAAGAGCCCTTTAAGTCGAAATAAAGGGCTTCATCGTATGGACGGGTGCAGGTTTACATCGATTTAATGCTGCTAAATTTGACCTAAAGTCCTAGAATAGACCAGGGCTAAGAATGCCAACAATTAGGAAAGCAAAGCCACAGGGTAAACCTGAGACCATATTATAAAGTCAAATGAAATTACATTTCCACCAGCATATGGCACAACTTCCAACTCCTAGGAGACTACAAGGAGTTCAAGCGTGAACATTCACACATTCAGGTTAAATTATAACAAACACATAAAACAAATGGATGAAACTTTGCTATTTTCTGAATGCACAGATAAAATGGAGAGAGATCCCAAATGTAGGGAGAAAATTATAGGCTAATACACAAATAATACAACTCTAGCTTCTTTCATCTATTGAACTTGAGAGGCCCAGTGCTATAAGTCACTCCCATCATTATTGTATAGTACTCATGTATTTACGGATTCATCACAGTCACTCAGAGAATAGTGTCTAAAATCTTGTATCACTATGTGCTGACCTCATCATTTAGGCAGCCAAGAGCAGGTTCCAGTATTCCCATACTGTGTGTACATAAATTGTAAAGGATAAAATAAAATGGAAAATGAAATACCAGTGATGAACTGTTGAAGGTCAGTTTAGCAGGCAGTGTCAAGACTCTGCCATCCCAGGTTTCTTTTGCATCAAGAAATGCAATGTAGTGGATTGAGTAGTATTCTCCAACTGTTATAAGAGAAAAATCAGTGTGTTAACTAAATGTAGATGAGTGTATTACAGAGTCATGTCTTTATTTTCTTTATTAAAACGGTAAATACAAAAGGCTTGAATAGAATCCAGTAGAGTTACACATCCTTGGAGTTTTATAGGAAAATAATGGGCTTGATTTTCTGAAGTGCTGACCACCCACTTGAAGACAATGGAAGCTGCAGGTGTTCGGCACCTCTGAAACTCAGGCTTAACATAAATAACAGATGGCAATACCATTTTAGGTTCCACTTGTAGAATCCAAGCTGAGAGTCTGCATCAGCAGAAAGACCCCTTAAAACATGGATGCAGCAGCATAAGCCACTTGCAATCCTCATTTCACCAGAGGCATGAGGGGCAGGGCCACCGAACACAGTGTGCAACATGGGCAAAAGCAGGGCAGAAGGGGATAGGAGAAAGTTCATTCTCTCTTCCAGGAAGCCTCTACTGGTGAGGCTCCAATGGAGACTTGGATGGACCTCGGAGCGCCCTTCCCTAGGTGGAATCTGTGGGGAAGGCCAGCAGCAGTACCACAGCCTCCATTTTCCAATAAGATAAACCCCTCCTCCCTCCAAGCCCACACACACCCGCCACCAACACATGTTTAGCTGTCCCTGCGGTTACAGGGTGTTCACATGCACAGTTCACCCCCTGCTTTGTACTTACAAAAGCAAATCTGGCCCAGTACGTTTTGCGACATAACTGCAATGAAATCTGTATTAAGTGAGCATTCAAGACACCAATAAACATTTGCTTCATAGAGATGGTCTTAATAAAAGTGAAGAAGAACTGAACTCATAACTTGGGGGAAATACTTTGCGATGGCCTCTTGAAATGAGAATCAACTAGTAAGAGTGGTCTCCTGTACAGGCTTGTAGTTGATTCTGGGGTTGATCTTGCTCCTGTTTTATACTTTCATGGAGTTTAAGGCCAGACGGCACCATCAGATCATCTAGTCTGACCTCCTATATAAACACAGGACATTAACCTTCACACAGATACCCTTATTTTAAGCCCCATCAGTCTAGTTAGACCAAAGCATTTGAGTCCTCAGGAAACTGAACTGTTGTGTACTACGAGCAGAGAACAAGAGGGACGATGGTGTTACCAATGCCCGAGGCCCCTACATGGCAAAGAAGTGATTAGGCAAGATATGCCTAGTCAATCCTAGCAGGTGACCAGCACCCCATCCTGCAGTGGAACACGAACCCCCACCCCCACCAAGAACCTTGCCAATATTACCTGGGGGAAAATTACTTCCCGACCCCAAATCTGGTAATCAGTTTGTCCCTGATTATATGGGCAAGACACACGAACCGGGCATCTAAGAAAGAGCATTCTCTGTACCACCTCACAGCACTGGTCCACCCTGTTTGGGGTCCAGTCTCCAGCTGTGGCCAATCTCTGATGCTTCAGAGGAAGGCGAATCTTCTCTGCACCGCATACATCTGCAGTGTACTAAAGCCAAAAGGTTTTGTCACTGACTTCACTGAAGTGGAAATGGAATTTTAACTTAGAACACCTCCAAGCAATGAAGTAACTGTGTATAACACATACTATCTGCAGACACATATGTAAGTCATGGCACTATCTTTGTGCCTGGAGATCAGTTTAAGGCTGAGCTGGGGGCTGACATATCAATGAATGAGAGTTACAACCAAATGAGCTTTGTTCTTGTTATGTCATCCTAGTTTAGATTTCTTCATAATGATGGAAACACCTTCCATTGGCATGGAAAACAAAATTCAATTCCAGCTTTAATAAAAGCTGTGCCAGATGTGACAATTGTTCCAGCTTTGGTTGCCAATTCAGTAATGTAAGTCAAGTTTCTTTTCTCGGGGGGGTAATTCTTTCTAAAGAATCTCTGGGTTGAAAGCCAGTAACTCACTGCCAACAGTTCCAATACCCCATGATCTGTGCCACCAACCAGGCCTCCATTATCAGAAATGGGATGTAGTTATTAACTCCCTACCATGCTAAAGTCCCACATGGACTAATTTTACTTCCAAGTTTGGAAAGTATTCAGTTTTTAGCTATCATGCCATTGCTTATTTACTTTAAAAAAGTAATCATAGTTTAACAGCTCTGAAGATGTACTTCAAGAGGGTGCAGGGCCAATAGCATGACCCCAGGAAGCAAGAAGTTAATCATGGCTTCCTTCCTTTCCCCTCACACATGGAAATAAGGGATATAAGAACAGCTACTGGGAATCAGCAAGGGGAGATTTCCTGCAGGAGGGCAGGGCTCCACACCCAGTTTTTAGGTAGGGGGTTGAAACCAAGTCTAGAGAGGGCTTGTATTTTGCTTTCATTTATGGTTATAAAGACTTGCTCTTGTTTGTGGGTTGAACCCTATATATTTCAAAAATCTCCCTTATCTATATTTCAGACAATGCTTTAGGTCCAAATTCTACAGTCATTTTCAAGCAGGTGAACACTCATGCCCAAGTTTCAGAGTAACAGCCGTGTTAGTCTGTATTCGCAAAAAGAAAAGGAGTACTTGTGGCACCTTAGAGACTAACCAATTTATTTGAGCATAAGCTTTCGTGAGCTACAGCTCACTTCATCGGATGCATACTGTGGATCCACAGTATGCATCCGATGAAGTGAGCTGTAGCTCACGAAAGCTTATGCTCAAATAAATTGATCCACAGTATGCATCCGATGAAGTGAGCTGTAGCTCACAAAAGCTTATGCTCAAATAAATTGGTTAGTCTCTAAGGTGCCACAAGTACTCCTTTTCTTTTTACTCATGCCCAGGCAAACCCAATGGCAGGATCAGAGTCTTAGATTATTTTAAGAGAGAATTTTTAAACATAAAATTTAACTTTTTACTCAGTAAGTTATTTGGTTACCATCTGCATGACTCTCAGCTTGGATAAAGAAATTATCCAGATCAGATTTGCTTTGATATTGATCATCCAGGATTTTGTTTAAAAAAAAAAAATCTTTCCATTGGAATTAAAGTAATACAGAAACGTTCTTTACTTGTGTCAGGTTTTGAAGGGGCTAAGTGTTACACAACTGAAGGGTCCAATTCTGCATCCACTGACATTAGAGACAGCTCCAAGCTTGGAGACAAATTTGGCCTGACGCACACCTCTGAGTTAAAAGAATATTACAATTGTAGAGTAATTAAGATATCTGGAATTAAGATATATTAACTGTTAAAAAGTGCTTTTGTTTTAACCTAAATCACCAGAATAAACAATTAAATATCCTAATTTGAAATTTTCTTGTCACAAAAATCGTCTTCACATATTGAAAAGCAGAGCCACTGCATAATTCGTTACCTTTCAGGAATCCTCTCTTATATATCTGGAACCCATCTGTAGTCTTATTACCACTGGTTCCTTGAACATGGAGGCCAGTAATATTGTCCAGCAGAATGAGATCTGTGACATTGGATGCAGATGGTGTGTTGGTATTATTTATCAGAAGTCTTACATATGCGGTTTGGAGACCATGTTGAGTAGCCACCTAAAACCAGAAATACCAATCGTTTTGTTTTGGAGCAAAATGGTAGTATTTAGCTGCAAATTACTAGGCCCACTTAGTTCAGAGTGTGTGCATGCATGTGTGTGTTAAAGCTTTTTCTTCTAGGGCGTTTTGAGTGACCTGCTGACAACATCACACTCCATTTGATTTCAGACTCCCAGAGAGATTTTAATCTCCTACACGTCAAGCTGTTGCTTGGCGACAGTGCAATAGAAAAACCTGTAGTTTGAAATCCAGGATAACAGCTCATGTAGAGAAACGACTGAGTGAAAACAAGAATCTGAAAATCCCAGAGAGACCTCATACAGGAGAATTGTAATGCAATGTTCTAATCAGGTTCTGGAAAATTCATAACACTCAACTTTGGCAGCATGAAGAGAGGGCCCTTAATGCACTTCACACTTGATATCACTTCATTCTCTTGATGCAGTTTGATCTCCTATTTAGCCCCCTTCTGGGGCACCCCGGTCTGCAAGGGTTATACAGCCCCTTATTCCTCCCATCTTAGGGGCTTGCTAACCCACCTTAGGACCTAGAGGTAAGGCTACGATTTAGTCACAGAGGTCACGGCAGTCGCGGATTCTTGGACTTTACTGGACCTCCATGACTTCTTCTGCTTCAGCTGCTGGCAGCTGAAGCAGGGGGCTCGAGGCAGGACCGTGTGCCCCTGCCCTGCTGCAACAGCTTGCAACTGCAAGTTGGATATCTGGAATCTCGACCCTGAAGCCCCAAGCCCGCAGCTTCCACCAGGGGCTGCAGCCGGGGCCGTGCACCCCTACCCCGTGGCATCCCAGGACTGTGTACCCCCCGCGGCTGCGGCCAGCTCCAGAGCGGTGCTTGCGCATCCCCCGCTGTGCTCCAGCACCGTGGCTTCTGCCAGTGGCTGCTGCCAGGGCCGTGCGCCCCAACCCTGTGGCACAGCTGCAACGGGGGGGCTGTGCGCCCTGCCCCGCAGCATCCCAGGGCTAAGCGCCCCCCCTGGCTATGGCCAGCTTCAGAGCTGGGACTGCCCACCCCCGCTGTGCCGCAGCCCGGGGTCATGCTGCAGCTGAGGCCATGCGCCCCAGCCATGTGGCTTCTGCCGGGGGTGGCAGTTGGGGTCACACATCCCAGCCACCTGGCAGGAGCTGCAGCAGGGGCTGTGCACCCCTGCCCTGCGGCCTCCCCAGGCCATGCGCCCCATCCTGGCTGCAGCCAGGGCTTGGGGGGGGGCTAAAGCTGGGGCCACATACCCCTATCTCACAGCTGTAGCCATCTCTGGAGCCGGGTGCTATACGCCACCCACGCTAATGGGGGTCTTGGCCTATCAGTCCCCTGCCCACCCATTGAACTCCATTCCTCTCCCATATTTAGCCTTGTCCTGGTTATTTTTAGTAAAGTCAGGGATACGTCATGGTCTCTGTGAATTTTTGTTTATTACCCATGACCTGTCTGTGACTTTTACTAAAAATAACCGTGACAAACTTTCAGTCTTACCAATGGGTCCTGGGTCCTTGGCACTAACTGCCTCCACCTGGTGGCCAGGTGCATAAATTAATGGACAATAGTTATGACCTCTAAGGGTATGTCTATACTACCCGCTGGATCGGCAGGCAGCGATCATTCCACCAGGGGTCAATTTATCAAGTCTAGTCTAGACGCGATAAATCGACCCCTGAGCGCTCTCCCATCGACTCCGGTACTCTACCAGGGCGAGAGGCGCAGGCGGAGTCAATGGGGGAGCATCAGCAGTCGACTCACCTCAGTGAAGACACCACGGTGAGTAGATCTAAGTACGTTGACTTCAGCTACGTTATTCACGTAGCTGAAGTTGCGTAACTTAGATCGATCCCCCCCCACCACCAGTGTAGACCAGGCCTAAGACATTACAATTTCTAAGTATAAATGACATTTTATTCTCCAAAGGGATAGAGTTAAATTGAAAGAAGTGAATGGACACATGTGACAAAATCAAGGATATCAAATGAGCAACCAATACCATAGCCCTAAGTAAATTAAGTAAAAATAACACAAAAAAAATATGTGTTCAAGGTCTCCCCCACAGACCCTAGGGGTTTAGTGGAGTTGGGGCTCAATGAAAAATGCTGGCCTTCCTTGCTGGGGAGTAGACAGCTCTCCCATTAGGGTGGAATGGATCCCAGATTATCTCAAGCCCTGGTTGTTGGTACAGTTGAGGCTTGCTGGGTACAGGCACAGTGGAGTCTTTGGGCTCAGAGTCAGCCTCAATTCCTTGGGCTGAGAGACACAATATGGAACTGCCCTGTTCTGCTGCAGGGCACAATTCCTGGACTGCTTTTCCTCTGGCTGCTCCTCCTTGCAACCAGCTCTCTCCAACAAACACTGGCCTTACTGGGCTCAGCCCACCTACTGGGAAGTCCAAACCATGTACTTGCTCTCTGGGGCCTATAGTTGGTCACCGGGACATGTCAGCTAGACTCTGACCCTCGTAACTCTTCCTCCTCCCAAACATGGAGCCTTTCCATATTCAGCTCACATGTTGGGGCATTCCCAGCCATATCCAGGGTGTTCAGGGTCTGTAGTAGATGTAGGATGTATCTGTTATTATTTGCTTTCTGTGTATTGTACCTTTAAATTTCTAGGAGTCTAGGCTACAGCTCAAAGCAGCCATTTTGTGAGGACGTTTAGGGCAGACTGCCACTGTGGAGACACACATCATTACGCTCTCTCCCTTACTCTGATTCTTCTTGTTTTTATAGATTATTACCGTTACTGTTATTTCTAGTCTAAATTTGTCTAGCTTTAACTTCCAGCCACTGGATCATGTTATACCCTTGTCTCAAGAGCCAATTATCAAATTTCTGTTTTCCATGTAGGTACTAACAGAGTGTGGTCAAGTCACCCCTTAACCTTCTCTTTATTAAGCCAAACAGATTGAGCTCCTTGAGTCTTTCACTACAAAACATGTTTTCCAATCCTTTAATTATTTTCATGGCTATTCTTTGAACCCTCTCCAATTATTCAATAACCATCTTGAATTGTAGACCCAGAACTGGACACAGTGTTCCAGTAGCAGTCACACAAGAGGTACTATAACTGCTCAACTCTTACTCCGTATTCCCCTGTTTATACATCCAAGCCCTTTTGGCCACAGCATCATACTGGAAGCTCATGTTTAGCCGATTATCCACCATGACCTGCAGTGTCACTGCTTTTCAGTATCACTGCTTCTCAGGATGGAATCTCCCAACCTGCAAGTGTGGCCTCCAGTCTACCCCACAGTTACATCACTCAGCATTGGCTAAGAGGCGGCTGTCACGCAATAATTAAAACCGGAGCTTCTTCTCTCACATATTTACATAGATTCAAACCTTCCACAACACTGTTCCATCTCTATTTAGCAGGCCTTGGCCTGGATCCACAAAGGGATTTAGCTGTTATAATACCTAACTAATCTGCGTCTTGGAAATCACAAAACTCCACAACTCCTTTGTTAGGCATCTATGCTCTCTACTATTCAATGCACGGGGAGAGACAGGTGCTTCAGAATGGAATCCACAAAAGTCAGCACACACTAGGTGGGGGAGCCACCTAAGATAGCCAATGGGAATTGCAAACAAGAGGGGTGTGGACTACAGAGTCATTCTCATCTCTCTCTCAATCCGGCCCAATAAATACTATTTCTATAAAACTTCAAATAGGAGAGACTGACTTCCCAGCAGAATATCCCACAGTCCAGTGGTTATGGCCCTGACCAGAGAGATGAGAAGTCCCTGTTCCAAACTCTTCTCCTCATCAGGCAGAGAAGGGAACTGAACTGAGGTCTCCTACACCTTGGGTGAGTTCCCTAACCATTAGGCTAAAGCTTACAAAGGAGGCTTCCTCCTGCTCCCTCGCCGTTTTGTGTGGAGGTAGGCATGCTCAGAGCACACCTACTGGATCAGGCCCCACACGCTTAATTCCTCCCATGCTCTGCAAAAAATGTCTCCACTGTGAGGACAGGGGCACAAACAGGCTTCCATAGCCACCTTTCATGTGTGGCTCCTGTGTACACAGACGTGTGCTGTTTCTTTACACCTGTATCGGGGGGGGGGAGGGAACCTGGAGAAAATTCTAGGCAAATTCCCTAATGTGAAGTAAAAAGAGAAAGTAGTTTAACGGATAATCCAATTTTCCATACTCTAATAAAGTCCTTCATTCAGTGTTTGGCCCTAGCAACTCCTTATCACTTTCACAACAACAGCTCTTGCCTCTGGTTGCAATTCTCCTCAGCTGGCCAAAGGGATGATGTCTTTGGATACATCTGCACATTTTTGAATGCTATAATAATAGTTAAATTGGAGTTCTGCCCTCCTCACTTCTGATTAGAAAGAACCTGAAGGTGAGTAGTAGGGAGTAATAGGAGAGCTTAGATATTTCACTGACAAACACTAGAGAAAACACTCAAACAGATAACAAAGGAGAGAGAAAACCCTTATACCTCACCTTCACTGAGGAGACCTTCTTACAGCTGCAGCTATCATAGGGAATAGATGCCCAGAGGCCACAATCTCCCTTAAACTGCTGGTCCTCACATTCACTTGCAACCTGCAGCTCTTGTTCCTACAGCAGACCCTGATGCTGTCGGCCTGAAGCAGAAGCAGCATCTCACAGAGACACTTGAGCAACTATAGCTTCCAGGGTTTTTTGTCCTCTGTTTCTAAAAGGAAATCAGCAAATGCTATCAGCCCCTGGACTAGCGCACAGGAGACTGGGGTGAAGAAGCAACAATGGGGGAAGGGTGGAAAGGAGAGGAAACAGTCAGGACAGAAGGGATGAGGGGGAGAGTAATCAGGGAAGAGAGAAGGATCAGGACCTTACAGACAGAATCTTATGTTGAGGAAAGGGTGGAAGAGCTTTAGGAATGATTCCCACATATCTGGTGTGCAAGACATGGGAATTCAGGTGACAGTAAGCGGTGTCATTCACCAAAAAAAAAAAAAAAAAAAAGGAAAAGAATCATTTATACCCTGATTCTGTTTATAAAGATTTACCAGGGCCCTGTATAAGATTATTGCAACTGTGAAGCACTAACACTGATGTTCTCACCATTTGGTAAATGACACAGTTTAAAGGGCACACTGATAAAACTGGGCCCCTTTTCCTCCCACCCCCAACGTACAAATGGAGGAGCCAGGCCCATTACATGTGAGTCATCCGTACACGCTGGTTTCAGTGGCATTATCTACGCGAGGAAGGGACTGCAGAATCTGTCCCTGAATGAGTAAATGTATGTCATTTCCCCGCTGGTTTTGCAAAGGAAATGCCTCAGAAACATTCATGAGATGGGAGAACAAAGTAGATCTTACTCTTCCATTTAAATTACTAGAGACTGCCATATGGTCAGCCAGGTGTTAGGAGGAAAATATCTGTTCAGATGTATTAGGATTCAAAGAAAAGGGCGAGATAAGCAAACTGAAATAAAATATTAATTTGATCCAAAGGTGGAAGACAATTCACATATAACCACTTTTTTTTTTTTAATTTACAACTGGCAGCATTGAAAGATTATTTCCTGATAATCCTACCATCTGGAGCAGACTAGCTTTGATCTTGCGCAGCAAGACTTGGCCCTTTTTAACGAGACTGCCTAGGTTGTACTATGAGTAGCAGAATCAAATACGCAAGTGTTTCAAAACTCTCTCTCTCCAAGATCTTCTTATAATAAAGGAGTAGTGAATCTTTTCTATAAAGCTTTCTGAAGTGGGAGGTTTTGTCACACCACTTCATGTAACTGAAATTATCAACACTGAGTCTTGCTAATTATGATCTATGGCCATTTTGATAATAACATTACAGTTAATTAGGCTCTGCAATGTAATGCATATGTATTCTCCATTTCCTATTTTCCACTCTGTGCATATGATCTGATCCAGTTCATCAGGTCAGTATTTTCAAACCAGCTGCTAAATTCCCAATGCTTGTACGCTAGGTCATTTGAAAGGCTGAATCCAAGCTTGACGTAAAGCACGACACGCTATCTTTCTCCATGCAAGGGATAGGCAGAGTGAATTGGCTGTAATTACAAATATTCAAACCTGATCTGACCAGTGTAAAAACGAAAAACCAAATTAGGTCGATCCGTTAACCCATTCCACCTAAACACATTTAAAATTTCTTCAAATAAGATGGACTCTTCCTGCCATACAGACTTGACAGTAGTCAAACTAAACCTACTTTAGGTGGGTAGCTACTTTTTAGAGTTGTATAAAATACTTGGTTAATTCTACACCAACTAGCCCAGGGTTTAAAGGAGTCTTAATGGTTATACATGACATTACAGAGCTAGGTAGATAAAAAATCAGGAACAGAAACTGAAGGCTGTGTTTTCTCCCTTTGTACCTAGTCATCAATTGCTCCTGGGTGCTTCCTTGCTTTGCTGGGAGACCCCATTTGGCCTCAATGGGATGCTCTTGCTTCAGTCAACATCTACAGAGGAGAGCCCTTATCTTGCTCTTGAAAGAAGGTCTTTATAAATCCCTCAATACCCAGCCTCTTGCCTACTATATACAGTTCACTGTTACGTATTCATATTTATACAGGTTCACATTATTTGGTCATCTTATTCACTTGGGCCCTGAGCCAAAGTCACTGAAATCAGAATTTGAATCAGGTGTTTGCACATTAAGAAAAGTGCTTTTGTTTTAAAAACATCTTCTTAAAAATCAAGGTTGGGACTCACCCAAGTGCTCAGCAATGGTCTGATTCTGGTCTCATTGACATCAGTAGAGATGGGCCAGAGCTGAATGTTTTTGAAAATATTGCCCCAAGCAGTTAAACACATTTTTGTAAACCTACTCATGTTACAAGTAAAACTGAAAGAAAAGATGGCTATTTTTCCAGTTAGTTTATTTTGGGCTAAATTTTTAAAAATCTGGCCCAAAATAAACAAACTGGAAAAACAGCCATTTTTCAAACCCACCTAAGCAGGTTAAGTGCCTCAATGGGAGTTAGGCATCTAAACTGCTGGTGCACTCTTGAAATCCCACTAGGGGCCTATCTGCATCTTTAGGTACCTAAATATCTTTGAAAATCTGGCCCTTTGTGCATCTGACAGCAGTCTTTGTGTATAGTCATTTTCACTGTTATCCCTGTCAGTTTCTCTCCATTTCTGTGAGTTTTTCAAACAGCAGAAGGAGAGAAAAAATATTTTTTTTAAAATTGGAAAATGAGATTGTAAAGCCCCAAATATTGCCAGATGTCTCTTTCACTCTATGTTTACACTAGATTTCCTACTAGTATCTGCTGTGACTTATCACCTTATATAAACATCTAATGGTGTTATCTATTGTTGTGGTTAATTTATATATAATTAAATGTGGTGAACAGATTTAAATTGTAGGCATAGGTATAGCAATAAGTAGGATAGTATTGTAGAGGTATAAGATTGACAAGCATTTATGAGTGCGCATTAGGTTTATAAGCAAAGTCGGGCTGTAATGCAAGGCCAGCAGGCTGAGGCCTGTAAGATTTTAATCTTAGACACATTAGGCCTTAAAGGATAGGCATGAGCAGGTAACCAAGGAGGTATCAGTGAAGTTACAAGGTTACTGTAAAATATATGCTAAGAGGTGAAGTCTGGAAAACATGCCGCTACGTACCCATCAATTCTGCAAGATGCTTGATTGTAACATCATGGGAAAATCTGCAGTGACGGCAGGTTACCATGGGAATTTATGGATATAAATGCTAATTAAAATAAGGGGAACTAAGAGGATAGCCTATGAAAAGTGAGGGACCCCAAATTTTATGGGGTGGAAGTCCAGATAAGGGAAAAGGGGTTGGAGCCTGAATGCATATGCATAAGGGCTATTGGCATGAGTAAAAAGAAAAGGAGTACTTGTGGCACCTTAGAGACTAACCAGTTTATTTGAGCATAAGCTTTCGTGAGCTACAGCTCACTTCATCACAGAATAAAAAGGGTTCCTCAGCATGAATAGGGAGGAAGAATCCATCAGAAGACCCTCTACAGAAGGGGTTCTCAACCTTTTTCTTTCTGAGGCCCCCCCAACATGCTATAAAAATTCCATGGTCCTCCTAGGCCACAACAAATATTTCTCAGTAGATTAAAAGCCAGGTCGACAGTACGGGGTAGCAAGGAGAGCAACTGCCCAGGGCCCCATGGCACTGTGGGGCAGGGAGGGGTCTGAAAAGCTAATTTGCTCAGACTTCTGCTTCAGCCCTGGGCAGTGGGGCTCGGAACTGGTCCTTCTGCCCTGCGCCCCAGTGAGTTTAACACTGGCCCTGCTCTCTGGTTTATTTTGGCGGACCCCTTGAAACCTGTTCACAACCCCCAGGGGGCCCTGGCCCCCTGGTTGAGAACTACTGCTCTACAGGTAACTATTGTGATGATACCCTTGGGGATGCAAGAACAGGTTGAACCTCTCTAGTCCAGCACCCTCGGGACCTGACCGGTGCCAAACCAGAGAATTTGCCGTCCCACAGGAGGTCAATATTGTAGCGAGTGGGTCTCTTTTTATTTTTATCTCGTTGAGGCGAATAAACGGAACAATGCTTGCAACACTGCCTAGCCAAGGCTTACTGGCTCTCTTCATAACAAAGTGTTAGTGTTGTTGCACAATTTTATTGTATGGCACAAGGAAATAAATAGATAAAGCATAAAAAACATAAAATAAAATCATGACGAAACACAGATGTTGCTGGACCTGAGAGTGCTGGACTAGAGAGGTTCAACCTGTATGAAAACATTGATGTTGGATATTTTATGATATTTTGCCATCTTCACTTATGTATCTATAGCTGCGGCATTGATTATATGTATAGTAAGGTTTTTAATAAAGGGGAGATTGATCATTTGCAGATGCTGTTGTGGTTACTGCTATCATTCCTCATGGGCTCCTAGAGTCTCCAGAACTAATGATATTTCTAATAGTGGTTCTCACCCTGCTAATTCTGATACCGTAGCCTTTAGGGAGCATGAACCCATGGCATAAGTTACTATATTTAAGATACCACTGGCAATATCAACTCATCAATAATATAAAGACTAGACAGCTCAGTCATGTTCTGCACTCTGTACAAAGCTAGTAAATGCTGCTGACTATTGTTTCAAAGCTCATTACTCACAGATAATGTTGAAGTATTAGATTACATTTACTGTATAACAACTTACTCCCTTTATTATACAATGTAAAAGTATTTGTTTGTGTGTACTGGCTTTGGGTTATATTAGGGTTCTTATTTATATAACTGGACAAAAAATATTCACAGAAGATTTGGATCTTACTACTTCCTCAAATAAGACAAAGCAGTATCTCAGAACTTACCACTGCACATTTCTGAAGAGTTATCCCATACCCAGAAGACACTGAAATTCTTGGCACATCTTCCAGCTGGGGAGGGAAAAAACAAAAATCTTGTATATGGACCAATCTCAATACAAAACTACAACACAAGTTGTGTAATGTAATGGAGAAAGAGAAAAAAGTTAAACCGGTTCACAACCTTGGCATTTAAGAGCTCTGCCAACCATCAATGAATCTTCTTTTATCTGTTTATACAAATTAGTTTAAACTATCTACTCCCACACATACTTATTAACCTAAGTGACATATGTTTATTATTCTGTGACCAGACTTCCATGACAAAATGCACAAAGAAACAAATTTATCAAATGGTACAAATTCATTTTATTACTTAGAGAGAGTTAGAATTTATATGACATACACCTGACTGTACCTGTCACCTCAGTTATAAGAAATTCATGCATTTACAAGATGTTACTGCTGAAGGTACCGAAGGTGAACATAATTATATGAGACACAATTAGAAACTATATACTAATTAGGTAGTAAATTCCCAGTGATAGACTACTGCTGATCTTACTTCTCTACAACCCTTTCAGATATTAAACATCAGCCACCTCTTACTGACCAGCTGCTGGTTAATGGTAGACTCTCGTTTGAACAAAATCTTCTTTGTCCATGAGGGGATCAAGGCAAACAGTGAATGGATCCCGTAAATATCTGGTGCTGCAGAAGTCAAAAGCAGATCATAGTCTTCATTTGTTCCCTTTAATTCTGGTCCCAGTAATTCTACAGCTGAAAGTGAAAGTAATACTCTATGTTAGAACTAAAGCATCTGTCTCACGAACTCTAGATCCCATGTGGCAAAAACTTGCAACTGTGCCTAGCAGTAGCAAAGAGAATCCAACCATTTTAAGAAGAGGTTAGATAAATACCTGTTAGGGATGGTCAACGTTTACTTGGCCCTGCCTCAGCACAGGGGGATGGACTAGATGACCTCATGAGGTCACTTCTAGCCCTTCATTTCTGTGATTGGGGCCTGTCATAAATATAAAGGGAAGGGTAAACACCTTTAAAATCCCTCCTGGGCAGAGGAAAAACCCTTTCACCTGTAAGGGGTTAAGAAGCTAGGATAACCTCGCTGGCACCTGACCAAAATGACCAATGAGGAGACAAGATACTTTCAAAAGCTGGAGTGGAGGAGAAACAAAGGCTCTCTGTCTGTGTGATGCTTTTGCCGGGGACAGAACAGGAATGGAGTCTTAGAACTTAGTAAGTAATCTAGCTAGAGATGCGTTTGATTCTGTTTTCTTTAAATGGCTGAGAAAATAAGCTGTGCTGAATGGGATGCAGATTCCTGTTTTATAATTTAAGGTTTTGCCTAGAGGGATTCTCTATGTTTTGTATCGGATTACTCTGTAAGGCATTTACCATCCTGATTTTACAGAGGTGATTCTTTTTACTTTTTCTTCTATTAAAATTCTTCTTTTAAGAACCTGATTGCTTTTTCATTGTTCTTAAGATCCAAGGGTTTGGGTCTGTGTTCACCTATGCAAATTGTTGAGGATTTTTTATTTTTTATTTTTTATTTCCTTCCCCAGGAAAGGGGGTGTAGGGTTTAGGAGGATTTTGGGGGAAAAGACGTTTCCAAGCGGGCTCTTTCCCAGTTATATACCTGTTAGGCGTTTGGTGGTGGCAGCGATAAAGTACAAGGACAAAAGGTAAAATAGTTTGTACCTTGGGGAAGTTTTAACCTAAGCTGGTAAAAGTAAGCTTAGGAGGTTTTCATGCAGGTCCCCACACCTGTACCCTAGAGTTCAGAGTGGGGAAGGAACCTTGACAGGGCCCTATTTTGCTAGGCAAATGCAGTATGAGACAATCCCTCCCTGAAGGAACATGACAAGGCAGGCACAGGGCAAGAAGAAAACCAAGGAACAGAGAGGTGAAGTGACTTGCCCAAGATCAGGCAGCAGGTCAGTAGCAAACACAAGAACAGAACTAGGTTTCCTTATTTCCGGTCTAGTTATTGCCATAACTGCTGGACCTTACTCCCTCTCACACCAAAGGAAACAACCTTAATTAGTAGGTTCTGTTCTCAGTGGGAAGTGTGTACAACATTGAAACTAGAGTCACGTTCTGAAATAATAAAACTATACAATTCATAATAAACTTCAGACAAAATTCTGCCCTCAGATATGTGCACACAACTCTCACTGGGAGCCCAGAGAAAAGGTTTTGTATGTGTACTGTATCTCCAAAAGCAGAATTTTGTCATTCAGATTTAAAGCAAATTATATCTCAATTAACAGGTTTCAGGCTTAAACCAACTATTAATAATTTCAGCCCACAGTAAGATTTCAGAAAAGCATGAATAATTGAAGAGCTTTATAAACATGAGCTACCTAAATATAAAAAGACTTGTGCTTCAAAGACTGTCTGCTAGTAAACCATTAAACATTCAGACTGTATTAAAATGTTTCTAATTGGTGCTTTGTTCTCAAATGAGTTTTCGTTAAATTGTAACGCAACCAAATCAAGGGCCCCAATTCTGTAAAACAGTAATGCCAATATTATCTTAGAACATGCTGAAAAAAGATTTGCCCATGATGAATACCTCTGAAAATATAAACCAAAATAATTTAATAGCATTAGTCTATTCAACACAAGTTCTTATATCACACTCATCACTGTACTATCTAAACATCTTCCAGATAGGGATAAGGTCCAGTATTACTACGAATGGATGCTCATGCTAAAACTTAGTTTAATCAAACTGGAGCTGATCAATAAATTAGAAGACAATTTAAATTAAAAATTTCTAAATTGTTTGTTTTTGCGGGGTTCGCAATGGATGTGTCTCATCTTTTGTGAAATGTTCTCACTATTTTTTACTGATTTTTTTTTAAATCAAACTCATGTTTGAAATCTTTCATTTAAACAAAAAACATGTTTGCTTACTGAAAACCCATTGTTTTAGTAAAACTTTTGATAATTTTGAAAAAAATTTCCATATGAATTTCAATTAAAATAGTGCAGTAAAAATATTCTGGAAAATTTTGTGAGCAGTAGGTTTTCATAATGTCCACAACTTTTTATTAAAAGTTTCATTTCAATAATGCGGTTTTTTCAACAAAAAAATAAATGTGTGTAAAAAATTTCAACCAAAGAAATGTGAAACAAACAGCATATTTTCTGCATATTATAAAGGATATTTTTCTGTTGTATTTTGTTGGGATTAGTTATGTTGAATTATGGCCCAATCCCATGTAGTATTTACTACTTTTTGTAAGGTTCTGTTTGCACCTCACACCTCCTCGCACCTTTCAGGACTAAGCCCTTAGAAGTGAATTGGTGACTTAAATCAAAGCCCTGGTGAGCAGGATTTAACTAAACAATTATGATTACCATAATAAATGAGATGCCAATATAGACTCCAACCCTGAAATGACAGTACACAGATGGACTTCTATACCTATGAAGCAACCGTTGACTTCATATGCAGAAGTCAAAACTTGTTATCAGTTGCAAAGGTTGGAACCCTATTGTGCTCAGGAAGCACTTTATATTGAACTGCAAAATAAAAATATTAGAAAACTAAAACAATAAAGTCATTGCAACAGGTGAAAGGTGACTGAATATTTTGCCATCGAGATTACAGTTGGATTCACTAAATCCCATATATTCATATTATGCACAATATCGTATTACCTAGGTGTCAGATACATGAATTATTAAGAAAAATCTTTGCTGTCCAAGTACAGACTATATTCTCTGCTCCCTTTCCTATGAGTCCAGGGGATAGATATGTAAGAGAGGAATCTGTTAGATTACCAAAATGGAAGAGACTACAAATGGCTATGTGCAAAGAGGTGGATCTTGCATTTGCAATAACCTCAATTACTGGTCATCATTAGGGACCGAATCTTGGAACTCCAGTGTTAAGAGGATTGACTTCTGTAGCTGTCATGTGTAGTAGACTTTATCCTCTAAGGACCAGCCATTATAAGGGGACGAATAAAGAAAAGGAGTACTTGTGGCACCTTAGAGACTAACCAATTTATTTGAGCATAAGCTTTCGTGAGCTACAGCTCACTTCATCGGATGCATACTGTGGAAACTGCAGAAGACATTATATACACAGAGGCCATGAAACAATACCTCCTCCCACCCCAGTCTCCTGCTGGTAATAGCTTATCTAAAGTGATCACTCTCCTTACAATGTGTATGATAATCAAGTTGGGCCATTTACAGCACAAATCCATGAATGACACACATGAAGTAAAATGGGTCACACATTCTTTTTAAGAGAAAGCTGAAACGGAGGCAGCTATTAGTCACAAAAACAAACGCAGTAATCTGGAATTTAAGAGGTTCAGCTATAGTCTGGCAAGCAGTGGGTGCAGAACCCTGGAAGTCCACTCTTTGACATTCATAAACTTCTGCACCACATCCGAACTCATACAAACCATACTGGTGTTGTCAGTGTCAGAATTACAGCAGATTGTAAGATCCTCAGGGCATGGGCCAGGTCTTAGGTGTAAAGTGCCAAGCTCAGTGCTGATGCTCAGTTACCAGTAAAAAAAAATGTGCATTTTTAATAAAAAATACAGTAATTCTAACGGTTAGCCCTTCCCCCAAAGCTGAATATTTTGAATCTGTAAAGAAATTTGGAATCTGTTTTTCCTAATGAGTCCTAACATCAACAAACCTTTCAGTTACCTGGTCTTATTTTTGTTTTTCAAAAATGCATTTGTTTACTATATTTGTTTTTTCCCCCCTTGGAGCTATTCTGTGTCCTCAAAAGCAGCCCTCACAAGAACGAATTTAAAGTCCCTTCAATTACACACACCAATGAACAGACAAAGGTAGTAATTTACTGCACTTCAATTTCCAGTGTTGCCATTAGCTTTTCTTGTTTCAAAGTCAAAGACGCAGTGAGAATAAACCAGAGGGTAGGAGGTAGGACAAAACAGAAAAAAATAGGATGCTTTTCAGCAAAAACTTATGTTACTACTGCTATGCTCCCCCTCTACACCAAACCTATAGAACCAAGTCCTGAATCCGTGCAAGTCAACCTGGGTCACCCTGGTCATGCCTGACCCTGGAGGAGAAGGAATGTTCACAGTAGCTGAACCTGTTTTCACTGTGGGGAGCCAGGACACACCCTTTCCTCCTGTCTAGCTTGAAAGAGCTCAGGGAAATAGACCAGCCCAGGCCCAGTAGTGGGGGTACAACCCGGGCATCACCAGACTTCCACGCTCTGTAGAACCCAACTCAGGAACCATGGGCTCTCTCCGCATTTCCAATTGCCACTGCAGTTGCGGGTCTTGGAGCGAGCACAGGAGACTCCCCTGCAACTAGCGATGACAGACTCCAGGGCTGCTGCTGACTTTATACATGTCAAGACAGCCCAAACCCTCCAGATCCCTCTCCTGCCAAAACCCACACCGGATCTGGTGGACACAATTGATGGGTTATCCCTATCATTAGGACTGGTGACCTAAGAGACAGTCCCCTTCGAGGCCGAAATGGAAGGGCATCAGGAAATAGTATGTTTTGATGTGATCTGCTCTCCATTCTTTCCAATAATTCTTGGCATTCCTTGGTTGGAGCTACATTCCCCATGGATCTCCTGGTGGCGGAGGAGCATTAGCGTCTCTTCCGAATATTGCCAGATAGCTTGCCTCCAACAAATCGACCAACCCCAAGTGGTCGCATCCAGGGTCCCAGGATTGGATAAGACCCTAAGAAGCAAGACCCTGGACTGTGGGGGGTAACCAGAAGAGAGCAGCCCCAGACCAGAAGCTCAGCCTCCTCGACAAGTACTGAGACTACCTGGATGTGTTTGAAAACAAAAATGCAGATTCATTATCCACACACAGGGACTACACCTGTCCAATAGACCTATAACCCAGGACAAGGTGCCCTGTGGATGGATAGACACTATGTCTAAACCAGAGCTGGATGCATGACACGTGTATAGCAGGACAATCTCACAATGGGCTTCATTCACAGATCCACTTCCATAGGAGGGGCACTAGCCCTCTTTGTGTGAAAAAAGGATGGGCCACTATGCCTCTGCATAGATCATCATGCATTGACTCAGGTGACTATTCAAATCGGTACCCCCTGCACCTCATCCCGGAATTCCCGGACTGCCAGGACCTTTTCACTAAACTTGATCTTTCAGGGGCACACAATTAGCATGGATAAGGCCTGGGGGGTGAATGGAAGACAACTTTTCAGACCTGATATGGGCACTCTGAATATTTAGTAATGCTGTTTGGCTTAACCAATGCCCTCACAACATTTCAACATTTCATAAACAATGTTCAGGGACATCCTGGATCACTACATAGTCATCTACCTTGATGATATATTGGTGTTTTCTGAGAAGCCCTGAGCAGTACTGCCATAATGTCAGTCTGTCCTGGAGAGACTATGAAAGCTTAGTTTCTACGCCAAACTAGAGAAGTGCACCTTCAACCAGACCACCACTGAATATTTAGGTTACATGGGGCATTCAGATAGATATGCAGAAGGTGGAAGTCATCCATAACTGGACAGCACCCCAGACCCACTGAGAACTTCAGTGCTTCCTAGGCTTTGCAAATTTGAATAGGCGATTCATCGCCAAGAACTGTGAACAAACAGCCCCCCCTGACTTGCCTCCTTCATAAAGCCATTTGATTCACTTGACTGCCTGAAGCCCAGCTTGCTTTCAACCAGCTCAGGACTGCCTTCACCACTGCCCCGATTCTGGCACACCCTGACCCAACTCACTCATTTATAGTGGAAACAGATGCATCCAACGTGGCCCTCAGGGTGGGACTCTCTCAGTGACTCAGACCCCAGTCAGTTCTTCATACCTGTGCATTCTACTCTCAAAAAAATCATCCCTGCAGAGATGAACTATGAAATATGGGCAAGAAGCTGCTCCCAATCAAAACTGCATTAGAAGAATAGCATCACCACCTTGAGGGAGCTCAGCATGCAGTACAGGTATTTACTGCCCATAAGAACCTCCATTACCTCCACAAGACCTGAGCTTTGAACCAGAGGCAACTAAGGTGAGACCTGTTCTTCTTTTGATTCAAGTTTACAACTACCTGCCACCCAGGAAATTGAAATGGGAAAACTGACACTATCTATCTGATAATCGTGAAAACTGACTATCACGAAAAGGGGAACACTACTGGGAAAAGGAGGACCCACTTCTGAGACCCTGTTCCTCCACAATTCAGCAAGATGGGCTCTCCCTTATCCGATCTGCCTCAAAAGAAGATTCACTTGCCCAAATAATACAGTCTATGCTATTAGGAGCTAAGATTCACAGTTCCATGCGGGATGGGATGACATATTTTGATGAACTCATAAATGTTCCCCTGGGGTGCCTTGACAGGAGATGCTACGGCTGTGCCACGGTGATCCATTGGTGGGTCACTTTGGCTGCCCTATACCTCCTGCATGGTTTCCCTTTTTTATGGTGGCCCTGCATGCTGGCCAAAACCCAACCTTACACAGACTCCTATGAGTGCTGTGAATGTACCAAGATGTCCTGGACCAGACCTCTCAGCACCTTAGTACACCTGGAGACCCCAGCTAGGCCTTTGTCCACCATCAGCCGAGACTTGTGGAACTCCCAGCGTCTGATGATCACACAATATTCTTAACATCCATAGACCATCTGACTAAAATGGCTTATCTCCTGCAACCACCTGTGTCGAGACCACAACCCAACTCCCGGTCCATCTCCATGGACTTCCAGACCACACAGTTTCAGACAAGGCCCACGTTTACCTCCCGCTTCCGGCACAAAGCGTTCAGATTACTCAATGTCCGCATCTCCACCTCCACCATCTACCACCACAAACAGATGGATGAACTGAAAGGGTGAACCAAGTATTGGAACAGTACTTGAGGCATTTTGTAAGTTGTCACTAAGATAACTGTAAGCCATGCCTGCCTGATGTGGCACTCTGTCCCTCTCTAGCGGCACCTAGATCATCTAGAGATTGAGTCTGCTACAGCCTTAGCTAAGAGCCATGTGGCTTTTAGCTCATGTAGTAGCGGCTCATACTCTAAGCTTCCAAGGTCCTAGATTTGATCCCAATGACTGGGCTCTATCAGCGTTACAAGCGAGGGCTCATCCGGGATATCAACTGGGAAGTTGCTGAAGCTTGGGACGCGCTTCCTCAGCTAGGAGAAATATGTAAGCCATGCCTGCTTGATGTGGCGCTCTATCCCCCTCTAGCAGCACTTAGACGATCTAGAGATTAATGAGTCTGATACAGCCTTAGCTAAGAGCATGTGGTTTTTAGCTCATGCAATAGAGACTCATGCACTAAACTTCAGAAGTCCCAGGTTCAATCCCGCCCACTGCCAACCAGTGTCTGTCAGTGTTACACTCCACAGGTTGGGGCCTCTTCTTTGCTAATTATGGGTTCCAGCCCTGTTTTTACCCAGCACTACCGCCAGCCTCCCTGGTGCTACCACCAGCCACCAAGTGAATCCAACAGCTCCATCTCGTTCAGGAGAAACTCAGGAATCACCTAGAAGAGGCAAAGACAGAGTTTCCACTGGAGGACCCTATGAGGACAGGCACTACAGAAAGAATCGCCCAGCAGGGCTTGAGTGGCAGCCCCTTCACAGCCCACTGATTGTATTATGCTGATATATAAATCAGGAAGCCACTGTGTGGAGCAGTGTGAGCAATGACACAGACTGCCAGCCAGCTTCCTCTCCAGACCTTGCCTGGCTGTGGACCCTGGAATCTGCTTCTGACCTTGGTTTGTCCTTGACTCTACTATTTGCCTGTTGTCTGTAACCCAGTGGCTGACCCTGACTCACTGATATCCTCACCCAGCTCGACCCCAGAACCACTACTGATCTCCTGACCACAGCTTGGCCCCTGACTGGGGCACACAGCCTCTGTCAGACTTCAGGAGAGCACAGAGATTGAAACTGTAAGCTGATTTTATTACAGCGGAAATTGTCTGAAGCAAATGAAGCTTCCATTAAAATATTTTTCAGACACTATATGTCTGGAGGAAATCTGTGAAATTCCAGTTATGTCTACACTGCAATACAAAACCCAAGGCAACGAGTCACAGTGCCCAGGTCAGCTGACTTGGGCTCACCGGGCTCAGGCTGTGGGGCTATAAAATGTCAGTGTTGGACTCAGACTCCAGCCTGGTGTTTGGACTCAGACTCCAGCCCAGACTCTGAGATATTCCCCCTTGTGGGGTCTCAGAGCCCAAGCACCAGCCTGAGCCCGAACACCAATACTGCAGTTTTATAGCCCCACAGGCTGAGCCCCACATGCCTGAGTCAGCTGACTAGGGCCAGCCACAGGCCTTTTACTGCAGTATATACATATCCTAAGACCAATCTCTGACTCAGCTTTGAGCTCAAGCCCCCCTTCTATCCATACACAAATCAGTCTGACTCAGATCAGCAAGCACTCAGGACCTGGATTCTAGACCCTGCTGGTTGGGTGGGTCAGACCCCAAGTCCTGTTGTGACTCAGGCCCAAACCCTGTCAGTTTGCAGTGTGAATGCAGCTCAAACCACAGACCCAAGTCAGGTCTGCCTAGTGCAGTGTGGACACATAAGCACAGTTGTGAGACCTAGGTCCAGGAACCGTAAGCCCTGGTTTAAAATGCAGCGTGGATGCTTCAGCATGGGCTTGGAATGACTAAGTCCACAAGCCTGGATCTTACAGGCCCTGGATTACCATGAAGTGCAGACATAGCTATAGCGACTAAGAAACAGAGGTGTATCGTGTTTTATGATATGGCAAATGTTATTATAGAACAAACTTTTTAAAAGCATCTGGGCTCCCAGGATTCTCCAGCACTTCGAGGTTTAGAACAATTGGAAGGGCAGTTAAAATGAATACATACCTGTCATACCGAAGCAGTCTCTCTTTTTTTGAATCCGCAGTTTATCTGTAACAACCTACAGTTAACACAAAAGAAGAATGACTATAAACCCAGGACCTTCTTTACAAAATACATTTCTAATACAGTTTAATCTGTCTCAAACTGGAGATGTGCTTTACACTAAAGTACAAATTCTGATTTCTGTACTCAAAACTCATAAGATTATCAGAAGTGGCAGTGAATAGTGAATAGTACACTGGACCTGGGGTTCTTATGCCTTGGCCCTAGCACTGATAGTAGCTTCCACGTAAGTATAAAAACCTCCAAGATGTGTATGTTATAGACTGGCTTTGTCAGAAACTCTTTTGACAGTCTTAAGCCCTGTCTACATTAAGGAAATTTGTACCAGAATAATACTTGCCTGCCTGCCATATGGAATTATAAAGATTAGATTTGAGATCTGTGGGGCAGAAACATCAACATTTTAAACCTAACCAGTGTCCCTTAAGTGACTTGACACAAGACGTCCGAACACGTTAGTATTAGAGCCAGAAATGTATCTCAACCTTGATCCCCATTCTGCTACTCTATCCTCAAGACCGCACACTCTCCTAGCTAATGACTTAGATGATGGATAAGAAGATTGTTCATTGATATATCTTGTATGTCCAGCCTGCCCAAAATAAACGTGGGATTTTCTTTAAAGTCCAGTTGTGGTCAGAAAAGCAGCTCTGTAAAAAAACATCACCACAATTCAATACATACTTTCTCTGTTTCACGTCAAATCTGTTTATTTTATGGATACAAACATGTTTTTACTTTCAGTGGTGCAGAAACCAATATCAGTCACGAAAAGCAAGCTGTATTCTGTCCGGCCTCATACATCAACAGAATTATTCAATGCACTATTGATGAAGATGAAAGAAACAAAAAGAACTCAATTTGCCTTTCAGGGTTAAGCAAGGGCAGGGAATTTAAAAATCTTCCTTGTTAATTGATCACATTTAACCTGGAGTGAGAGGACAAGCAGCTATGGGAAAGCAATATTTAAATATTAAATAGTAAATAAAATATTTAAACATGAAGTAAACGTAAAATTACAAAGTATTATATTAATCTGTAAACATGAGTTAAAAGGAGATAAACTAAGATGAACTAAAATTAATTAAAAACAAAGGTTCATTTTTAAATACATTCTAACCAGTACGCCATTGTTCTGTGGTCTCATTTGAGATTTACAGTAAATACCTAGTTCCTGGCAAAGATGTCTATACTTCTGTAAAATGTCTTTTGTATAACGCCAGTTGTCAAATGTGACTTAAAGTGATCTGTGTGGTTACAAATGTAATCCACAGTTTCAGTGTACAATAAAAATATTAACTGCAAAAATGAGATTATGAAAGTCAGTGAACTGAAGTTAAAATAGAGATCTGTGTTTTAGTGACTTAGAAAATGATTTACTGGTATGCAGTGGCATTGGATTAATTAGTATAGTGGGGGTGCTAAAAGCCATTGAATAAAACTGTAAACCCTGTATATGATGGAAACCACTTCAAGTCAAAGGGTGCTGCTGCACCCCCAGCACCCCTACTTGCAGCACCCTTGTGGTATGTGATTTCCTCATATGTAATCATTGATTCCCCCTCGGCAAATGACAGTTTGGTCAGGGCTGAGTGGTTAGATTTGGAGTGGAGGCTAATGTATTGAGGATCTAAATTGTAAGAATAAATCAAAATAGGAAACATGAAGACTTAAATAAAACTTACTCGCATCACTGCATACAGAACAGAAGTTCAGCTCTCAGACTATTTACCCCTCCCCCATTACCAGAGCAAATGGAAGAGTGCACACAAATTAAAATCTGACAGCCTCACAGAGGATGGGTTGAGGTGACTCTTGATGTAGGTAATACGATCCTACTTTCCAGAAGAATAAACTGATGCACAGATACTAAGTCTGACAATGGCCTTGTCTGCACTAGGAAATTCACCCAGTGCTAGAGCTGGCTATGTCCATAGGAAGGGACTGTAGAAGAAGTTCCCCACCGGAGCTACCACCATGTAGCTGGGAGTCCTGGTGCAGACAAGGTGCCACCAGCCTCTATTATCATCAGATTTAAAGACCTGTCTACACAGCAAAAGCTGTGCATGGGCTTGTCTGTTCAACTTGAATCCAGCTAGCATGGGTAACAACAGAAGTGAAGAGAGCATAGCACAGGCTTCAGAATGGACAAGTCAGCCAAGCATGCACCAAAAGTCCATGCCAGACTTGCACTACCCGGCCTGAAGCCTGGCTGTACTGCCTTCACTGCTATCACTACCTGGGCTAGCTGGATTCAAGCTACCTCACAGCTAACCTGTGCACAGCTTTTCCTGTGTAGACTCAACCTAAGTGCCAGTGGTAAAAGACGACACACCAAGTATTTTTCTGTCCTTGTTGATGAAGCTAAAGACGCACCAAAAAAAGAACAGCTGTGTCTCCTTTTATGCTTCTGTGGAAAAAGGAACCATTCAGGAAAGAGCTCCGGGAGGCTGCTTCCACGTGGAAAATCTAAATGCTGAATCTGTCTCAAAAACGATTATTGAAAAACTACAGCATTTGAGGCTGGATATTAATTACATTTTTGCCCAGTGCTACGATGGAGCTTCTGTGCTGAGTGGACATTTAAAAGACGTACAAGCTCAAATTCAGGAAAGGATTACACATGCCTTTTATGGGAAATGCTGTCCTTACAGGCTTAATCTTGTGTCTGCAATGACATGTTTCAGCATCACCCAGTGTCAGAGACTCTTTACATTTGCTCAGGCACTGTACATCTTCTTTAGCAGTAATTACAAGTATTGGGAACCGTTTGTTAAGACACAGCAGGACCTAGGCCAGAAGGTACCTGAACTAGGTAGATTATATGAAACTCGCTGTGACTCCATCTGGAAAATGCATGCATAATTGGCACTGTAGTGGAAATACTGGAAGCCACTTCAGTTCAGAGAGCTGATGGACCATCAGTTAGTATTGCAAAGGGCTTGATGGCAAAGATAAAGAGCTATTCCTTTCTGTTGAGGCTCTTGGTTTTGGAAAGACTATTCAAGATTTTGCACAGGGCTTCAGAAGAACTGCAAAATGAAAACTTGAATCTATCGAGTACCATGGAATTAGTAGCAAACAATGTTGCTGCTCTTCAATAAATGATAACATCTGAAAGTAAATGGAAGGAGATGTGTGATGAAGCTGAAATCATTGCCAAAGAACTTGAAATTGATATTCCAGGTCTGACAATTGCAACTGCTGAGCACAGCAATACAAAAACGGCAAGAAGACCTAACAAAATATCCTCCAAGCTGGCCTTGGTTTTTGTTTATAGTACACGGGGTCAGTCATCGACACATGATGTTCCCAAGAGCACTCAAGAACCTATAAAATCTGATTTCTACTATCCTATTCTGGACAGAATTCTTTCTGAGCTTGATAGACGATTCACCTCCAACTCCAGTTTGCTTTCTGCAGTAATTGCTTGTGACCCAAAGAATGAAAATTTTCTTGATTATGAGAAACCGAAAATAACTGCAGATCACTATGGATGACAGGCACCAATTTTATGGCGATCTGGATGCAGAATCAAAGTTGCCAAGAAGCACATTGCACCAACAATCTGAGTTCAATTTCTGAATTCCGGAACGTTCTCAATGACTTACCAAGGGGTTACCAGTCTTTGCTGTCTACTGTAGATTATTGTGTTGAGCCTTCCAATTTCTACAGCATCAAAAGAGAGGTACTAATCTGTGCTCAAGAGAGTTAAGGACTACTTAAGATCCACAATGGGAGATGGGCATGTAAGAGACTTGGTAATTTTAGCCTGTCAATGTGAAGCTTCAGAACACCTGGATTTTGCCAAGATGAGACCATGGCATTATCCGTTGTTTTAGCTCCTATCTGGAGTGTGTGTTTGTTTTCAATAATTTACCTTTAAACATTCCTGGAACAAATTACCTGTCTCATTCTCCTCTTCGCAATTTGGAACACAAGACATTTACAAAACAACAGTTGCAGGCATAAGCAGATTTTATTGACTTTTATTTCTGTCTACTAAAGATAGTGTACAAGCTATGTTGCTGATATCTGTGTTAAGGCTTCAAAGCGGATACCTCAAGGCTTGGGATTATCTTGCAGTATTATCTTTGGATTGTTCTAAATTTACATATAAATTTAACATATGGCTTTAATGGCTGTCTGTATATATTTTTTTCGTTCTTTGCACAGAATTTAGATACACTGCTCCTGTCTGCTAATTTCTATGTTATGTGTTTAAAAAAAAAAAAAAAGCCTAGAGTTTTCAAGTGCCTATGTAGTCCCTGGAATCATGGTTAAAGTTGCCCCACCCCCTTAATTTGTGCCAGGGATTGCCAGGGCACCAGCACCTCTAGGCTTGGCAGTTCATTGCCCCAGTACCTCTGGGCTTGCTGCATCAGTTATGAAAATTAAAAAATTGCTTGAGTCCCAGTACCAAATTGCTTGGGCCTTGGCACCTCTTTCATGACAAATTAAGCACTACCCCTGCCCCCAAATCTGAAATGGTGCCCCAATACCAAGGGCCTAAATTTTAGAAATGCCAAGCAAGTTCTCAGTATCTCTGAAAATCAGATCTGAAGTAGGCTAACGTTGGGCACCCCAGGTTAGTGGATGCCTTTGAGCATTTGGACCTTTCACGTCTCTACAATTCAGCTTCCTCATTTGATAAAATGGGGCTCAACGCCTCTGCCCTAGGTAGGGCGAGGTTAGATTCGCTACGGCCGCGGGACTAGGGTGCGCTGGGAGGGCAAAGCGGTATCAGATCACCCGCAGCCCTTTGCATCTCCCCAGGGCTTCCTAGGCAGGAGCTCACACGCCTCGGCGAAGCGTCCTCTTACCTGGGCTGCCTTCTGGCGGCACCATCCGCCGCTCGGGAGGCGGGGAGCCCGGCCGCGGGCTGACTCCTCGGGGGAAGGAAACCGCGAGCCAGCGGCAAGGACCACCGAGACCTCGCGCCCGGCCCCGAGAGGAGGGGGATCTCCGTGCACCGGGCGGCTGGCGGGCAAACGCTGCCTCCCAGCGACGTCTTTGCAATGGGGAGGATGCTGCCCGAGGCGAGGGGGGTCTGCAGCCGGGGAGGCCCGGGCTGGGAGCAGCAGCAGCACTCGCACAAACCAGCCGGCTGCCAGCAGAGCCAGCGGCGGGGAGCGGAGCCCCCCTGGAGCCGCTGCTCGCATGAGACAGGCGCTGGAGGGGCGCGGGGGGGGGAAGCAGCCGCCGCCGCAAGGCCCCGGGCGCAGGAGCCCCCCAGTGGAGCGCGGCTGCCGCGGCCGAGTTACTGGCCCGGAGAAAGTTTCTTTCCAGGGGGTCCGGCTCCAAACCAGGCCGAGCTGCCGAGGCGCCGAGCCACAGATCTGGCGCAATCGACTTCAGCCGCGATCGCTCCCCTCCCGGCCCGGGGAGGGGTTGGCGGGCCGGTCCCGAGCGCAGATTCCCCTTCCCCCAGGCCCTGCTGGAGGCCCTGGTCCCCAGCCGCGAACCTCGGCCCGCAGGGAGAGGGCTGGGAGCCGGGATGCCCTGGGCTCGCCAAACGGGAGCTGCCCAGCAGCCGAGCTCGCTGCGCTGCTCTGGGTCCTAGCCCGGGGCCCCTCCCCCGTCCCAAGCGGAGTTGGTGCCCCCCCGAGCTCTCTGTGCCGGCTCGCTCATGGCCTCTGCGGCTGGCGAGGCGCTGCCAGGGCCCTGCCGAGGGGAGGTCGGGCTGCAGTTCTGGGTGGAATCCTTGCAGCTGGTTCCCGGCTTGCTGGCTCCCGCTGTGCTGCTGGGGGTCGCCTTGGGCGTCGGCGCCGCGCTCCTGCTGTGTTTCTATGTGATCGGGCCTCTTCTGCAAAACAAGGTACGCGTTGCTGGATGGGATCTTTGCAGTAGAAGGTTTTGGCTTCGGGCGGATTGAGTGGGTTTGGGTATATACTCTTGGTCCTACCTGATCCTGCCAGCCTTGGCCTCCGCCTTCCAAATTGGAGTACAACAAACTGTCAGGCCACTCTTCTTGCTCTAAAAAAACCCAAACCAGTGTCTGATGCACAACAGCAACACAGGACACCGGGTCTGTCACCTCCTGAATCAAGCCTGCTTTGGGCCTCTAACTCTCCAAATTGTAATGGGTTCACAGAGAATACATGTAAATGCTTCTATTGTATCACACATTCTGGTGCAACAGCATTGCAACCACACAGCTGACACCTGGATTCTACTGGATCTAGCTGGCAGCACAAGAAAATCTGCACCCAACCACAATAATGCTTCAAAATCCCAGGTCTGACACATAGGCCCTGCTGGATGCAGCCAGTTTTTGGCCCTCACTACTCAACTTCCTTTACTTAAATAGAAAACAAACGTAGGTGCTCCTATTGCTCAAACACATTTCTAATCAATGCATCCAGCCAGTTGTTGTCCCCAATTGTCCAAATTCCACTCGCTGTATACAAAGCATCTTTAGCCTGCCTGCTGCACCTTAAAACTCCAGACTGACTCTGGCATGCCCCAGAGCAGAAATGCCACAAAACTTGGATTCAGCATTGGGATCCTTTTGGACCCCACTGAGTTTTGTGCACCGCCCCAGAAATTACACTGGCAGAATTAAGGATAAGTGTACTTTTCTATCACTCTTTAAAACACTGACACATTCTGGTACAAGAAAGTGGCAAAAACTCTGATTTGATCTAGGCAAAGGGTTCTCACAACCAATTTTTTGGTGGCCTCAGAGCAGTGGTGGGCAACCTGCGGCCCTCCAGGGTAATCTGCTGGCCAGCCACCAGACTATTTGTTTACATTTGCACAGCCGCCCGCAGCTCCCAGTGGCCGCCATTCTCCGTTCCTGGCCGATGGGAGCTACGGGAAGCAACTCTTGCTGGTGGCCACTCTGACAGTTTTTCCTAAAATACTTAATTAACATTAGGAAAAATAAATAAATATGCATATATACATGTCCAAATCATTGTAATTTATCATACAGGGGTTTGGGGTTGTTTTTTTTTTTTTTGCAAACTCAATAATAAAAATAGTGTACAGTTGTCTCAGTTCTTTACTGGACTTAAACAGAATAGAAACAAAAATAAGGTGCTTTGCATGTTCTTTGTTGTTGTTTCTTTAGGTTTGTTTGGTTTTTTTTTTTTTTTGGACTTGCTAGCTAGTAAGTCTGCTGTTGTGAAAAGTGATATTTGTATGTTTGTTAATATCATTTTTCACAGAAGCAGGCTTGCTAGCTAGCTGGGAGGCAGTGAAAAGTGATATTAACAAACATACAAATATCACTTTTCACAGCAGATTTACTCAGTCCCAGCAAACTGGGGGACAAATTAAGCCCTGGATTGGGAAATGAGTGGGTGGGGAGGCAGCGGGGACCAGGGGTGATGGAACAGGGGCTGGAGCAGGAAGTGGGGGCCAGCAGCGATGGGAGGGGTGTTGAAGTGAGCCTGGGGCTGAAGCCCAGGGGCCAGGCTGGAGCCCGAAACCCTGTGGCCGGGGACCAGGACCAGAGTACACAGCAGTGGCCAGGGGGGGCGAGCAAAGGAACAGTGCCCAAGCCCCATGGCTGGATCCTGGGTCCTGCGGCTGGAGCCTGGGATGGAGGAGGCAGTGCGGGCCAGGGATGACAGGCAGAGGGTCATGAGCCTATGGTCAGAGCCCAATGCCCCATGGCCAGATCCTGGGGCCCCGCAGCTGAACCCCAGGGGACAAAGCCCGCTGCCGCACAGCCAAAGCTCAGAGCCAGAGGACATAGCGGGGGCTGGGGTGATGGAGGGGTACGAGCCTGGAGCCAAAGCCTGAAGCCCACAGCCAAATCCTGGGGTCCCATGGCCGGAGCCGGAGCTGCGTGGCCGGAGATGGAACCTGCTGCTGTGCGGCCGAAGCCCAGAGCCGGAGAAGAGGCAGCGGGGGCCAGCAGTGATGGAGGGAGTGGTGAGCCCAGGGTCAGAGCCCACTGCCACATAGCTGGAGCCTCAAGCCCCAAGCCTCATCACCGGAGCCTGCTGTCCACCACACCAGGGCTGAAGCCAGAAGCCCGAGCCCCACTGTCTGCAGGAAGGTGGGGAACTCACATTGGCTGCCTGCTCCTCTGCCAATTCGGGCTCCAGAGGGGGGCAGGGCCCAACTGCTGCTTCACCGCCCCTCCACCCTCCTCCATCCCCGCCCAGGAGGCCTTTGCTGCTCATTTGACAAACGCTGATCTAGGCAATTTTTCACTCCTCAGTTTTACCATCTATATTTAACACAGATGCAGCTTCTTCTAGTCCACCACAATAACGCCAGTTACCAGATATCATGGGGCAACAACACTGCAAGAGCCACTGTGAGCAACTGAACTCAGCTAGGTCAAGCTGGGTTTTGGCACTGAGCATCCGAATTAGAACATTATCATGCTATCAAATCGGAGTTTTCACTTATACAGAATCCTCTCCTTTGAACAACAGGATACCTTTTGGGACCCCATATGTCAGTAACATTACTTATGAGATAAGATAAGCACCTGGATGAAAAGCAGCTATCTCAAACTCAGTCTGTAAAACAGAGGTAGGAATTAGGTTGTAGTTAAAGGACCTGTGCAGGTCTGACTCCATCACCCATTGAAGACGTATTTACTCTATTTGTCAAGAAGGGGCACAGCCTGCGGTTCCTTTGAGACTTTTTGCTTGCTCCTAGACACCAAAAAGCAGCGGCCCAGAAGTGCCACTTTCCAATTTCACCTCGATTGGAAAATGTGCCCTTTCTTAACTACTGCAAACTACCCATTCTGGTCCACATATGCACCACCTTTCCACTACACTCCGTCAGGGTGTTCTCTACTACATTGTACTCCAGGATGTTCAGGTACTACAGAGATGAGGGCTGTAAAAGTATCTAGACAGAATGTGTGTGTGTGGGGAGGGGACTCAAGCTGAAGGCCATACAAACATTTCAGATGGCCTGACAACAGCCAGCTTATTGGGATATTTAGACAGACATGAGGACATCACCCCAGTTTTCTACATTTTCTGCTGGCTCCCTATCCAATAGTGGATCTTCATCAAGAGCCTGTTTCTAGCAGATGAAGCCCTCAATCGACTGGAGCCAGTCTGTATCCAAGTGTCTCTTTCTCTGTCACCCACCTCAGCAGCCCCAATCAACAGGAGTGATAAGGCTGACAGAGTCTCAAGTGAAACTCTTGGTAGCCTAACATTCTCAGCTACAGACTCTCAACTATCCAACTTCTAATATAGATGCATGCATTTAAACTGATTTTAATCCTTGCTTAAATGAATTTAGCTTCATTTGGTAATGTACTGACACAAGCTGGGATTTAAGCAAGGATTAAACTCATTTAAGTAGGTGTGTGTTAGGAGTTTTGCACCAGTTTAGTTGTTGCTCTGCAGACGCCATACACACGAGAGAGACCTGTTTAATTAGATTAATTTAAAATCGATTTAGCTAATCCGCTGTAACTTTTCTTGTACGGACATGGCCTCTGGCTTTTCACTTTAGGGCACAACGGAAGACTTGCCTGGTTTGCAGATGTCTTCCTGAGATAACATTGACCACAGAATAGCTGTCAATGTCTTCTCCCAGAAACAAGAACAATTCCACTTACAAAGCAGCAAAATGAATGGAAGAATGGAGAGAACTCTCCCTTTTAAACTGAGACTATGCACCTAGATCCCATGGTGTTTTAGAAATATAGAAGTAGAATAATAATGAGGCATATTGTATACATTTTACAACTTGCTTGGGGTGAAACTGCTATGCAGCGTGTTCCAAAGCACATGCTCTTTCTGATGTTTAACATGTATTTCTCTGATTTTAGTCCTCTTTGGAGAACTATGTACATTTTCATCATCTTTTAAAAAGTAACCCTGGTTGTTCCTTGCTCTTTATCACAAATGTTTCTTGAGACTCCAGCATTATTTACATTGTATATATCCATAGAATTATTTATAATTCTATTATAAATAATAGTTATTTATATAATAATATATAAATTATATAATTTATATATAGATTTATATAATAATCAGGTTATTTTCAGAGAACAGCATTATTGATTTTTTTTGCATCAGACTTAGACCTATATAATATTGAGTTAATTTAATGTAACAGTGGTTGGCACTTACAGAGTTGGAGGATCCAGTGCCATGCAGAGTGTTCTCTCTGCAGTCAGTGGGTGGTTTGTTATTCTTTAGCCACACCTCTTTTACAACGATAACTAACCCACTCCACACACACACACACACACAGGGAGAGAGAGAGAACAAGACTGATCATAATTAGGCCTGGTGGGAGAGAAGAATACTTGTGTAGCCATCTGCTTTCAAGAGGAAGATATGAAACGCTGCTTGAAGCCATGCTTTTGCCTGCTAATGGATGCACTTCAGGTACGAGATCAATGCATCCTATAGAGGTGGAAGCTTCTCTGAGTCAATACCTCAATTTTTATATTGCTGTCACGCTTGGCTCAGTATAGCAAAGTACAAATGTTATCCTTTTGCTGTCTTCACCTGTCTGGTCATTCCGATACTGTGGTCATAAGGTATGAGTATTTAAAAAGAAGTCATTATTGCCAGTGCCTTCCAGCAGTGTTCTGTTCTTCTGTAATATCCTCCAGTCAGTTTTACCCTGTACCTGCAAACTTCCTTGTTGAGATAGAGCTTGTCCAGTCACGAGATTCTGGTAGATTAGTTTGATGAGGCACTACCGGGATTGTTCTTAGATCTTATTTTATTCAACATCTTTGTTAGTGATCTATAAGAAGAGGTGAAATGGCATGTTAACTACATTCATAATACATTGGGAGGACAAAAAGCAATGGAAAGGAGGGAGCTAATGGGGTGATAAATGTGGGAAGGAACTAAAGAGATTCAACTTGGAAAAATGAAGTATTCACTGGGGATAAATAATCCAAGTTATAGGTGTTCAGTGGGAAAGAAATGCTTGTGAATAGTATTGGTGAGAAATACTATGGCTGAAAGTGGGCCGCAAACTGTGAACTTGCAAGGAAATATGAGACAAGAAAAGCAAATGCCTCTTTTGGGCTACATGTGCAAGAACATCTTGTCACCATACTAGGAAGATGAAAGCTTTTTTTTTTTTTAAACTATCTCGCACTGATAAAATTGTATATAGAATATGATGTACCGTTCTGGACACCTCTAGTGTCTGAGAGATGGTGGGAGGGAAGTCGGTGGAAAACAACAAAAATGATTGGGATAAGTAGGGGCTGGAGGGATTGAATAATATGGAAAGGTACTAAAAGAACTAATTACATTCTATATTGTGCGACCAGTCAACTACTAAAAGGAGAGTTTAAGTTTCTATAACAAGACTGGACTGAGAGGTGAAAAGTGGCATTGGCAATATCTTTTCAACAGCTCAACAAACAGCTAGTAAAATGGAGACATGCGGCAGGAGATGGAAATGAAGTCACTGTAGGTACTTTGAAGGGCATTTGCAGGGGCTGCAGAGCCCCTCTTCTTCTTTCCGCCCCCCAAAAAGCATTGAACCATCATGTTTCCCTAAACTGAGTACTGTTGCGGTTCAAATACAAGACAGGACAAGCTTTAAGCAAGCAAGCAGGCTGGTCTGCCGACGGGCTGCTCCGCCTGTCAGCTTTTCCACCCTCTCCTTTATTTCTCTCTCTCTCCCCCCTCGCATTACATACTCCAACAGATAAAAGGAATACACTGGCTTTGTATAATATTCTTATTTACCAATTTCTATCTACCGCATTCCTTGCTCTCGGGCCTTGAGCCCAGTCCTGGGAGGCTTCCCACGGTTCAGGTCATCTGGGCGAGATTCCAAGGTTCATGCCCTTGAGAGGAGCCGTGTGTGCACTGCTCCTACACAACACTCCGGGTGTGCCCTGAATGTTGCCAAGTGCATGAACCTTGCATGAATGCTACATGAGTACCATATTATCACATTCTGTATAGGTTCTTACACCATGCTCACCACCGTAGTATCTGAATGCCTTCCCGTTAAAGTTTATTATGCCATATGTCAAGTGTGGTTTGTTCTCTCATCTTCTCTGCAGGGAAAAAGTGCGTACAGTGGAGGTTTTGGTGCGTGGTTTTGTTTAATATATATGTTGCTATATGATTGTAAGAGAAGACAGGTCAAAGAAATGCACCTTACACTTGGAGTGGAAGTTGGTGTTGGTCCTTAGCTCCCCCAGATATCCTTTCCCTAGTCTCAGATTCTCCCCCCCCCCTTCAGAAAGTTCTGTCACCTGCATTAATGGGATTTACCCTTATTAAAAAACATTTCACTGAGAAGCAGCATGGAACAATGGTCCTCATCCAAGAGCTTTAGGTGATCTTTTGGATATCCTAGACCCACGTCACTGAGTGCCTTCAAGATACAGACCAAGACCTGGAACTTGACTCATTAGTCTATGGAAGCTAGTCTGGAGAGTGGTGGACAGGTTTGATGTGAATGCAGTAGCCCGTACTACTGAGATGACACACTACAGCATTCTGTACTGGTTGGAGTTTCCTAAGCACTGATGGTTTCAAACTTGTAGCTTTTCTGACCCATCCTATACCTGGTGCATGGTCTATTCTCACTAATTTTTCCTAGTCCATTACTTGGGTCCAAAACACTGTGTGCACCTGTGTAACTTCGTCACATGAGTAGTTCCATTGCCGCTCCTCAATACTGCAGTCATTTGATGCTGTGGGGTGGGGGTGGGAAGGAGGCTTCTTGGCACTGAATGTACAATTACCAGAGTCTTTCACCTTTCCATGGGCCAAGTCTCCAGCTCTGGGGAAGGAGAGTAAATCCAATGCAGAAAGAAACTAAAACATGTTTCCTCAGTCTGTAAGCTTATTACTCATTTTCAGAAAACTGAAATAATTTGTCTAAAATAATCATTTGTACCTACTTTGTAACTTGCACAGGATATTACTATAAATAAAACAGGACCATCTAAGATGTCAGATGAACCGAGGTGGTTTGAGTTGCATTTTATTTTATTTTCCTGCTTTGGGATTTCAGAAAGATGATTCCCAAAGGCTTCTGGAAAGCTTTCACTCGAATGTACACGGACATCTTGATGAAAATGTACGCTTACCCAGAAAGAAGAAAACACAAACTCGAATGTCAGAGAAGGAAATGGTGCTCGAAGTAAGAATTTATTCCTTTTGTAGACATCTGTTTTGTCTGATATTCTAGCCTGCTTACTTAGCAGTTGATCCAAATGCTGTTGATTTCAGCAGGCTTGGGATCTGGCCCTTCAAAAGTTATGATAATTTCCATACAGATGTAATAAAGAGATTGGAAACTGAACACAGTAAATCAGAGACTCAGTGAACAAAGGAATAAGGGCCCTGAACCTATAATCTGTTGATACCTGGAAATATGATTTCACTTACATTTACCTGGCACAATTTAACAGTCTTTACTCAGGCAAAATTCCCATTCAAATCCATTGGAATTATTTCCCACTCTACCATCATATTACGAATTTGAGGGTAGCAGCCAATATTCCCACTTCTTTCCCACAACTACCTTGCCAGCACCCAGCAAATTTGGGTATTTCCTGTGAAGCATTTTCTTCTGACTTTATTAGAATTCACAGCTGAAGAGGAGCCTGTAATCTAATTGCACAAATCCACTAAACTAGGGAAGTTTACTATAAAAGATTGAGAACCACTGGACTAGAGCATCAAGTCTTTAATCCACATAGGTCTTCCAGGAGGTACATCAACTCATCTAGATATTTGCCTAATTTTATAACAGGCTATATAAAAAGCACTAACAAAGTCAGTACAAACTAAGATTTCATGTAGACAATGACTTGTTTATACTGCTCTATATACTATATGCTGAAATGTAAGTACAATATTTATATGTCAATCGATTTATTTTATAATTATATGGTAAAAATGAGAAAGGAAGCAATTTTTCAGTGACAGTGTGCTGTGCCACTTTTGTATTTTATGTCTGATTTTGTAAGCAAATAGTTTTTAAGTGAGGTGAAACTTGGGGTATGCAAGACAAATCAGCCTCCTAAAAGTGATACAGTAGTCTGGAAAGGTTGAGAACCACTGCTCTTGCCCTTACTCAGGCAAGACTCCCATTGAACTCACTAGGACTCTTTCTTGAGTAAGAACTGCAGGACTGAGGCAAAAATATCCAGCTTCTGTGTAAAATGGATCACAAAACCGCTATGTTAAGGTTCCACTCAGTTTGTTTAGATACTGGGAGTTGGATTCTTAGGGTTCAGTCCTGTTCTACTGCAATCCTATTGTTCCATGTATTTTAGCTGACCTGTTTCTGTGCATGTGGGTACAGGTTTGCTCATTCATTTTTTAAGTGACGGGCTTTGAATATGAAGGGCAGGTCAACTTTTATCATGCTACAGAGTGTTTACTTCATAACCCTTTAAAAGAAAACTATACTGATGAGATTCTTTCTTTGGCTCATATGACAGAGTTGTTTCTGGAATACATCGAATTTATCTTTACATTAAGTGGAAGAATATAATGTCAATGGTCATATAAGGTCAATACACTCCCTCCCAAGCAGTGGTGTGGGTAAGACACTGAGCTGAACAAATTTTGACATCTGAAGAGTATCTGGGGAGTATTTGGAAGTTTGGAAGCTTAGGCAGCTAAGTTTGTGGGGGGGGTGGTAATCTGTGTGGAATATGGGGGTAGTTAAGGCAGATTACACATATGCTCAGTTTGCCTCATTTTACCCCAACCCATTCAGCAAATCCAACTTGCCTTAGCTCCCCTGCAATCTCCACAAATTTAGCTATGTCTTCTAGCCCTCCGCCTACCCTCCTCAGACTTCCATACATGGGCAGCAGTCTCTCCAGTGGCAGCTGAAGACAGAGTGCAGGGTCAAATGAACAACCCTGTTGAAACACCAGAGCTGGCAGCTGGGACTAGAGGACTATCAGGGAGCAAGGAACCCCCTCCAGAGACAATTGAGAACAGGGAGAGCAGAAATTCAACAACTCACAACCAAAAATTCAAAAGGATTGGGTTTTTTGAAGAGGTCTGATTGAGCCTCCCTTTCTGCTAGGGCCCACGTTTTTCCCCACTCACAGGATGCTCTGGTGGGGTTACTGCAGCTCCATGATCGTGGGAGATACAGAGGCCAGGGTCTGCAGGTGACTGGTCGATGGGAGAGGAGCTAATTTTACACCCCCTTCTGCAGCTCCATAGGACCCAGTAGTTACTAAGATGTTCATATGGCTGTCTGTAGGATTGACAGACTGGTCTGGAGCACCCCCGTAGTGGTACCAGGGGCTTATGTACTCCAACTTAGTCAGGAGTTGGTCCACTATTGCAAAACCCACAAAATGTGTAAAGGAATCAAAGGAATTACTTTGATGATCTCAGTTCACTGCCTTTCATTTAAAACTGAGTTGGCTGCGTTCCACACAGTAAAAGGGAGTCAGGAATGCAACTGTTTTAAAAATTTGTAGTTAAACTGTGCTCCTCATTCTGCCTATAAAAAATAAGTTATGCTCACCCACAGCATGTCGGTCCTGTCTAGCTGGCCCAGTCGTTAGCTTGCAAATGGAAGTAGGTACAAGCATTTTAACTGTAGCCAGTACTTGTTATAGACACTTTAAATGTACTGTAAAGTTCTGATGGGAAATGAATTCTCATTTCAGATGTGTCCAAGATAGATGACAAATTTATGGCTGAATGGCTGAGTGTTCTTGGACTAGTCATGAACAGAAAATATTTTCTATTCATATCAATGATTAGTTTTTCCTTTGGGGGAAAGTCATGGAATATTAGGGTTGGAAGAGACCTCATGAAGTCATCTAGTCTAATCCCCTGCTCAAAGCAGGACCAACAACCACTAAATCATCCCCGCCAGGGCTTTGTCAAGCCAGGCCTTAAAAACCTCTAAGGATGGAGATTCCACCACTTCCCTAGGTAACCCATTCCAGTGCTTCACCACCTTCCTAGTGAAATAGTGTTTCCTAATATCCAACCTAGACCTCCCCCACTGCAACTTGAGGCCATTGCTTCTTGTTCTGTCATTTGCCACCACTGAGAACAGCCTAGCTCCATCCTCTTTGGAACCGCCCCCCCCCTTCAGGTAGTTGAAAGCAGCTATCAAATCCCCCCTCAGTCGTCTCTTCTGCAGACTAAATAACCCCAGTTCCCTCAGCCTCTCCTCGTAAGTCATGTGCCCCAGTCTTGTACAAATACTTTGACATGTACATAGCTTCATGCATAGCAGTAGTCCCATTGAAGGGCAGAATCAGGCCCTTAACTACAGTAATTTCTATAGTACACATGTCACAAATATGAGAGCACTTCTGTAACACATTTAGGGCTAGTCTACATTGGCAAAGCTAAAGCGCTGTCGCAGCAGTGCTTTAACGTGGCCTGTGTGGTCTCCCAGCGCTCTAAACAAAACCACCTCCACCAGGGACGCAGCTCCCAGCGCTGGGGCACTGCCTTTACAGCGCTGAAACTTGCTGCTCTCAGGGGGGTGTTTTTTCACACCCCCTGAGCAAGAAAGTTGCAGCACTGTGAATTGCCAGCGTAGACAAGCCCTTAGTGTATAGCCTTGTTATTTGAAGGGTGTTTCACCCCCTCTCTGCCAAACCACTTTTTAAACAAAGCCAATCTGTTCCAATTACTGCTGACAAAAGGTGTTCAAAGGCTAAGCCACCAAGTCATTAACTAGCATAGATGAAAAATGTGCTTGGTTAGGTTAGTACTTATCCATTGCAGTCGTCTCCTAAACCATGCATATATGCATATAAATCAGTGGGACTACTCAGTGTGAGCGGGGGTATGACTGTCTAGCCGCCTGGCCCTCTACGTCTTGCACTTGTTGTTGAAACAAAAAATAAAGTTTGGAAGTGAAACCGACATTATGTGCAGCCACAATGCATGACCCATTTTGATTTTCTCTGCTCATTTCAGTGTTTGTTGTTGGGCTCCCTTAGTGCCTTGCCATTTCTTACAAAACTCCTGGAACTAGCAACTGCATACATTTCAGCAAACCAGATTGTTCCATTGGTAATACAAGAAATGCAAGAGTTAAAAACCCTCCTAAAACTTTGTTTGAAACAGTCTCAGTTATTGTATGTAGCCCACATTCCCAGTGTACTTTGTGTAACCCAAAGCTGATCACCACACTGCAGCTATGCGTGAAGAAGAAATGAACTAAAAAGCATGAACAGGAAGTCTGACTGGCTGTAATTTGCAGCCAACAGGCTGAACAGAATATATTATCTATAAAAAGTCCTTTTGAAAGAACCTCTGTCTTTTCTCGGGGCATAGTTAAGGGTTTTCCAGTATTTATATTTTAAGTCATTCTTGAAAAATTACTTAATTTAGTTTTATTTCATCTATTGTTTCTGTATTTAAATTCAAAATTCCTAGTCAGACCATGGTAGCCTATCCTCAGGCATCTCCATTAGCCATATATATTAAAGTAATTTCAAAATCTCATAGGAAAACTGGATTTCTCTTTCACTGGAGTGGGGGGGCGGGGAAGAGAAGGAAAATGAGCTATGGTCTATCATCAGTTGTTGGAGCAAAGTTCTTTTTTGGAGATGGAGCTGTGGTAATAAACTTCCAAAACAATTACAAAACCATAGAAGGTTCTCCTCTTCTTTGGGCTTCATGCTCTGACCTGGACCATGAGAAGACGGTTTGTGTCAGAGTGTAAGTCCAAAAACAATCTGTGATCAATAAAATTCCTAAGCTATCCAGCCAAAAGGGCTGCATGGAACTTCTGCTAAAGATCTAATCATAGCTGCTGTTCTTACTTAAGCTTACAGTACTTTTCTGTTGTTTCCATACAGGGAAATGAGTCTTCTTTGAACAGTAACATCACAGCATTTGCATTAAAAGCAAAAGTCGTCTATCCAATCAATCAAAAATTTAGGGTAAGAGTTTAGACTGTTTGTGAAAAGAAGTGACAATCATTCTGTGACTGTAAATTGTAGAGTGGGAAACACTGGAAGAAATTTACTATTAAGCCTCTTACCTTACAGTGGGTTTTTTATTTATAGCAAATTGATACAGGCCTTATCCCATGTGGTGCTAGCTGTCCTCAACTGGGAGGGAAATCTTCAGCACTTCACATGGGCCTGATCCAGTTTCCACTCTAGTCAACTGGAAGTTTTCCATTGACTTTGGCCCAAGAGACATTTAGCACTTTGCAAGATCTGTCCCTTAAACAGGCAATATGTTCATAATTTAATAGAAAAACATATTTCCCAGTTAAAAACATAAGTTCTGAATAGACATTTTGTTGTATACAGTATTGCAAAAAATTGTGAAAGTATCCAGTACTCATGAGCTGCTCATCGTCTTAATATTATTTGGTATGAACCACATACATTTTCTTTGTCCCTAGCCCCTGGCAGATGGATCATCCAATCCATCTTTGCATGAGAATCCAAAGCAGGCTGTTCTGCCTAATCAGATAATGGAAACTTCTACTTCAAGCAGCCTTGGATCCTTGAGTCATGGAGATAAGGAGGACTGTAGTTCATCCACAACAATACATTCTGCAACTAGTGACGACAGATTTCAGGACCGAGCCTTCCTGAAGGTGACCTGTTTCCCTGAAGTTCTGACTTGTGAGAGGTACAGAAACAACTTGCGATAAAGTTTGATCATTTGAAAACACACGCTTGGTTTTTTCAGACGAACTGCTATAGATTTGGTATGGATGAAGAATCAGGGTTCTTAAATCCATGTGTTGAAGGCATACAGTTCAAACTTAATTATAGGAAGCTAAACCTTCTTGGAAACCAAGTAAACTGCATACTATTGTGTGCAAATTAGTTTACTTATGACAGAATTCCGGGGAAAGGAGTACAGGCAACAATAGCCTTGTGTAACAGCATTATCATAAGAAAAAAATCCTTGTTACTGTATTGTGATAATACTACAATATTAGCTTTGAAAGGCTGTTGATCAGATAGAATCCAATCCCGCCAGATACTGAGCATGCTTTGTACATGATGCTGAGCCCCCTCCACTCCCATTACAATCATTGGGAACTAAAAGCGTTCAGCCCCTCCCAGGATCAGATTCATAATAAGCAACATTTTCAAAGATTCCTAAAACACTTCCTGCTGAAAACGATTGTTATTGTCTTTCTCACTCCAAACTGCATTGATGATACAATCATTTTATTGTCTTCATTGATTTAAAAGCATTGATACAAATTTATACATAAAAATAACTATGGATGAGCAATGCACATAGTACAAAGTCTGAACTGCTACTACTTTCCTCTCAACACCTCCCAGTCTTTTAAAACCAGGATGCAAAATCTTTTCCACCTACTAAGGATCAGTCCCTGGACAGCAATTTTTTTTATATACTTGTAACTTAGGGTTTGATTCTGTCATGCTTATTAGTTCCTTACCCAATCAGTAGTAGCACAGAAACAAACATGAGTAAGGGTGTCAGAACTGGCTTCTTAATACTAACAAAGCACATATTTAGGGCCAGATTCAACCCTTACTTAGGGCTAGTCTATACCGGCATGCCATGGCCGTGCTTTAATGTGGCTTGTGTAGTCACGGCAGAGCGGTGGGAGAGAACTCTCCCAACACTCTAAAAAAATCACCTCCACGAGGGGCGCGGCTCCCAGCGCTGGGGCACTGTCTCCACTGGCGCTTTATGGCGCTGAAACTTGCTGCGCTCAGGAGGGTGGTTTTTTCACACCCTTGAGCGAGAAAGTTGCAGCGCTGTAAATTGCCAGTGTAGACAAGCCCTTAGACTGAGCAGTACCTTACTCTTCAGTAAATGACTAATAACTGCGAACTGAGTCCTGCAAAGTGTCCAGGGCACGGTTCCCAGCCCAGTGGGACAGCTCACATACTTAACCTTAAGCATGTGCTGAATTGGAGCCAGAGTGGTCATTACCCTGCAGGATCTAGCCCTGTATCATGGGACTTGAAGGCAGGAACTCGTGGGGGCCTACTCTGCCCATATCAATCGGGGTTACTCATCCTGCAGTGAGGGAAATAGGTCCCTGCTCAGATACCATAGGATGGCCATGCTGTAATAACACCGAGTCTATCCAGGTTCTAATTTTCACTCTGCCACTGAGTTGCTGTGTAGCTGTAGGCAAATATCTATCTTTACCTCTTTGTATCCCCAGCTGCAACATAGGGAATAAGAAACTTTGTCACAGGGTGGGACATGGATCAGTCAGTTAATGTTACTGCAGCATGACTGGAGATGTAAAACATTAAATACTAAGTGTTATTATTACAGTTTTAAATTACAGCTTTCCCCCTCCCCCTTTATTCTACCCATCCATCCATACTGTTTAGGCTTGCTGTGTCGCTAATGTGTTAAAGCATTGTGTCTTTTTATCTCATACTCCGCAACATTTTGAAGTACTTTGTATAAAAAAAAAATACAATATGAAAATTGAATTGACTGTTGTTCCAGGAAAACTGCTTTTGTGAGAATTCAGCACTTAAAAGAAAAAAGGAAACTAAATTACAAGAGCGTTACCATTTTCTATCAGTTTTGTTTTTGCAGTGATGCTTTGGCTCAGTGTAAGTAGATTGCTGCTAATGAATGCTAAACCTCTGCTTTATTTTAGTTTTGATGTTAAACTGTGCCTGTATAGTCTTCTTTTGAAAGAATTGCTGCTGCTTGATACCGAACTAAGAAGGGAAAAACAGGTGGTAGGTACAAATTTTTTATATATAGCCGTTTGAATTAGAGATGGGAGCTCCTTTAGAAAACTTAGGAACTAGTCAACATAATTCACTCTGCCTATCAGACTCCATTGAGAAAAGTATTGTATTTTTACTGCACTATATTTTATTTGTCTGTATGTCATGAATATATGGGCTCAATACAGGGGTGACTGGGTAAAATTTAATGCCCTGTGTTATACAGGAGGCCAGACTAGGTGATCTAATGGTCCTGCCTGGCCTTAAAAAAGAAAAAGAAAGAAAGAAAGAAAAACTATAAATTTTGCATAAAATATGTTATCCTATAGCATGTAGAGAAACAAACATTTTATAGATACATGTATGTCTTCAGTTATGGGTGTTAATGCTTTGCAGTGTCAAGGATTGTGCATTCTCTAGGTAATATAAGAAAAGTCAATATAACATGTTCATTACCACTGTGATGAGCACAATTGCCCTGATTCAGTTTGGTACAGAAGTCAAAGTACCCCTTTATTCTGCTGCATGGGCTACCCATATTACAAGTTACAAGAAGAGAGCAGCCTCCATTGGTTGGGAGTGGGCAGACAGGGGTGTAGGGTGGATGGAGTCTTAATTGCGCCCCACAATGCACTGGGCAGCACAACTGAGCTGGGGCAGAATGAGAAGTATTCTGGTATTACAGAGGATTGTTTAACCCTCTGAGAGTCAGAGTTGATTCGCTGGTCTGTTCTAGCGTTGGCCCAGGTATGCAGCACCCCTTTCTCACATCCCATTGGAAAGCTACCATGTAGCTCTAAATAAACAAACCAGATGATTTTCTTGCTAACACAAATTGCAAATATTCTCATGATTTGTAAGCCAGAGTCAATGTTTTGTTTTTTTAAAGGGGGAGGGGAAAAGAAAAAGCTTAAGGCTCTATTCTTCTCCAATGGAGAGAAAAATAAAACCTGACCCCAATTAAAAAAGTGGATGGGGGAGGAGTAGAAGGGGAAATAAAAATAAAAGAAGTCTTTAGCAAGGAGAGAAGGACAAACTGGGCAAACTGGACTTCTGTGATTAAGACAAAAGAGTAGGGATTTTATACAGATATGGTGCAATACAGAATCATTGTTACTGTTATGGGTGGGGTTAAACCACACTCAAACTGGAGGGTGTAACCACTACCCTCATTTAAGTTGAAATAAGCAAGAGGTGCCTCCAACCAAACCACAGATACATGTCACTTGTCAGGATCCCAACAAGGGCAGTCAGGGCCAAGAGTCAGAGTAGGGGCAAACCTGGGTCTGGGAGGAGCACAGGCGTTCACAGTCAAGTCCAGGCCAGGGTCCCAAAGGTCAGGGTCCAAGTCAGGAGGAAAAGTCCAAATCAGTCCAAGGTCAAGCCAGGAATTCAAGAGCAGGAACAATCATGGCAACCATAGAAGATCCCCACTGTTGCCTAAACACTTCTTGAAACATCCCCTGGATTTATATAGGGCAGGGAGCCAATCAAGAGCCATGGGGTTGCAGTCTGTCAAACCCTTGTGGTGGAATGTCCCACAGTCTGTGTCCACAGAGGGTTATGGGAAGTGGAGCGCACCATGGTTACATCTGCTGCTGGGTGGCAGCCTGGAGCTGCTAGCTGCCTGGTAGCTTCTGTAGGCCTGGGTTCTAGACCCAGAGGGCCTTATGGTACCACCCGACACAAAGGCACTGGGAAGTCTGCTCAGGAATTTGATATATGTGGGCAGGACCTTATGCTGGGTATTGCTTGGTAGAGTGGTGTGTATGTTGAGAGAAGCATCAGAAAAAAAGCCAAGGACTCAGGACAAGCACTGGGAATGTGGCCCTGAAAAAAAGCTGTGATAAAGCTTTTGGGCTAAATGGAAGAAAGGGGCTTGAAACTGTGAGAAAGGATACTATTTCTTGTTTGATCCCTGCTGTGTTTAGGGAAATGAGACATCCTACATGCTTTGTAAATAAACAAGATTACATTGAAGAAACACCTGACTCCATCACCAATTTCTGTTGTTAACTGGATCAATCCACAAAACCCTGAATTTTTAGCTAACTGCTCAGGTCAAAAGGGGGTAACATTACAATTATAGCCTAACTAAAGCAATCTAAACACTGGATATAATCCTTTCACACCCCTCTCCCCCACCCAAACCTCCATTATGCTCACATTATGTCAGAAACAAGTAAATCTGATTAATGCAATTAGCATGTTTCAAGAGGTAGCATTTTCTAGACAGACTTTTAAACACTCTTGGGAAGGAGAGGAACCAGAGTAAGCCTGGGGAGTAGATTTGACCCATTCACGTGTCCTCTCTTGGTGGGGTCCTCCCCATCTTCTTAAAAAGGCATCTATGGGAGACCAAAAGAATTCTGGGATCAGTGTCTGAGATGATCTTCAATTTGTGTGAATTAAGAACAACGAATTTGATCTCAAGATCAATAACTAACTTGTAGACAACATTGTGCCATAACGTAACAGAAACCTTGAAAGGCAGCTGATTAGACCATTTGATTGCTGACCAGAAGCTCCACGATTCCACAAAAGGCAGAGAAAAACTTTGAGTCATAAAACTGCACTCTGAGTAGCAGGAGTTGGTTTTTATTAGTAGGTTTTTGGTCCAAGGCACAGTGGATGGTTCAGTCTTGAAGGTTCCATTTTTTGCCCTCCATGTTAGTGCTTCTGAAAGTCAGGTATCAAAGAAGGAAACTTCAGTTTTGACTTCATTATCTTCATAGTTTGCTTTAATTCTGATATTTTTGACAGTATTTGAAATATTAGCATTTTGTCTTCCAGTTTTATTTTCAGAGGGTGCATTCTGCCTTTCATATCCATAGTGTCAGCAGGTGAGGTACAAGTCATCATCGCTTGTATCTTTTTCCATCCTACTGAGTCTTGTTTTACCAGCAAGTCTATTGATAATAAGTTTTCCAAATTCTACTCAACTGCAATGTTGACTTGTCAAGCGACTCCTTGAATTATTTTTTGTTAGCAAGGAATCCATCCCAAAGGATTTTAATAGCTTCCCCCATTTTGGATCCAGTATGCTAAGGTTTCCCTTTCTTCTTGTCCTTTGAAGCCACACTAATGGCAAAGAGTTTGGAATTCAGCCATCAAGTGTTAACTTAAAGCTATTCCACTTTTTGAATATGTATTGTGGAGATTTCTATGGCGTCTGCTTGGTGTAAATGAGAGAGAGAGAAAAAAGAGAGTCATATATCCTGCCGCTAAGCTGAACACATTCAAACAACTTTATTTTTTCACTTTCAAGATTAACAGTTAAAAACCCCACAATAATCCATTTACTATCTTTTCTCTCTGGCTTTCAAGGAGATAAGTGGGAGGGACTTGGGTGAAGATTCTGCCAAAGATTTAAAATATAATTTGTTATATTTTTGCTATTGTCGATATTGTGATCAGGGAAGTTGATCAGAGTCTATTTAATTGAAGGTCTGTTTTCGAGAGATCTTCCCAGAGCCTGGGATTTTCCCAGATCTTGTAACTCTTTGGTTACAGATGGTATACAAATGAGTGGCTTGGTTACAAATGGTAAACAAATACAGTTGAGCAATCCCAAGATGGCAGCTTAAAGGTGAAAGCATTACACTACAGGCATTTGTGAGGACACGACAGCTTGGGCACACATAAAGTTTTAGAAAAGATCCACCCTACTTTGAACATGCCATTGTGTGATAGCTACCCAAAGCAGAGACATGAAGTCTGATGTTTGTGAGTCCCTTTGTTATCCTTCAATGAAAGGCCTTGCGTATGCTTTAAAATTTGTCAGTTGCCTTAGATATGTAAAATTACATCTGTCTTTGTAGGAGTGTAGGAAGTGTAAGAAATACTGGAAGATAATGAATGTTATCCCAGGCAAATTGGGAGAGTCCGAGCATGACTATTTTAAGTGTAAATTATCTTTTCTGCTATTAATATATTTTCACTTACAACTCATCCTCATTCATAGATGTAATCACCAGTAATGATTACCACAGTGACCTTACAAGTCTTATCAAATTGATTACGTTTTATATTTATTTCTCCTTTTTCACCTAGGTATTTATTCAGGTTCTCAGAACATACCTCTCTGATTTTTACCTTAAAAAGAGGATTACTGAAGATTTATACCAGCAAATCATTTTGATGCAGGAAACTGTAAGTGTCTCCATTGTTTAATATTTCAGCCAACAGAAAATAAAAGTTAATGCAAGCAGTTTGTGAAAGTTCAGCAATATGCCCCTCCTGTGTTGATCTCTTTTACATGGAATAATGTCATCTGTAGTGTATTTCAAACTTTCCTGTTTTTTGGGAGTGGGAAGAGGCAAAATTAAGTGAAAGACATGATTGCTGAACCCCTGTGGTGGATTGTCCATAACAACTTGTGGCTGAATGTCTGTCTGTATCAAAAAATGCCAATTACTACAGTGCTGTCTCCAGTCTGTTACGAGAAAAGCCTTTTTCACAGTTTAGTCCTATCAGGAAAACAGTGTTTTCTAGACCTTAGCATGAATGATTTCTAGGGGTATGTCTACACTATGAAATTAGGTCGAATTTATAGAAATCGGTTTTGTAGAAAGCATTTTTATACAGTCGATTGTGTGTCCCCCCACACAAATGCTCTGCGTGCATTTAGTCAGCATTTAGTTGGCGGAGTGTGTCCACAGTACCAAGGCAACCGTCAACTTCCGGAGCATTGCACTGTGGGTAGCTATCCCTCAGTTCCCACAGTCTCTGCCACCCATTTGAATTCTGGGTAGAAATCCCAATGCCTGATGGGGCAAAAACACATTGTCGTGGGTGGTTCTGGGTACATATTGTCAGGCACCCCCCTCCCTCCCTCCCTCCATGAAAGCAAGGGCAGACAATCATTTCACGCCTTTTTTCCTGGGTTACCCATGCAGACACCATGCCATGGCAGGCATGGAGCCTGCTCAGCTCACCATCACCGTATGTCTTCTGGGTGCTGGCAGACGTGGTACTGCATTGCTACATAGCAGCAGCCCATTGTCTTTTGGCAGCAGACAATGCAGTATGACTGGTAGTCATCGTCGACGTAGTCCAGGGTGCTCTTTTAACAGACCTTGATGAGGTCAGGGGCACCTGAGCAAACATGGGAGTGACTCAGCCAGGTCATTACTCTTTTAAGTTTCCTCTCATGGCGATTCAGTCCTGCCGGCAGTCCTACTGCACCATCTTTTAATGAGCAGCCAGGAGACAACGATGGCCAGCAGTCATACTGCACCGTCTTCTGCCGAGCACCCAGGAGATGACGATGGCTAGTGGTCGTACTGCACAGTCCGCTGCCAGCAAGATGTATAAAGATAGATGAAGTGGATCAAAACAAGAAATAGACCAGAGGAGTTGTGTATTCATTTTCTCCTCCCTCCCTCCCTCTGTGAAATCAACAGCCTGCTAAACCCAGGGTTTTGAGTTCCATCCTTGAGGGGGCCATTCTGTTTCTCCTTGATGCAAAGCCACCCCCTTTGTTGGTTTTAATTGCCTATAAACCAACCCTGTAAGCTATGTTGCCAGTCGTCCCTCCCTCCATCAGAGGAACAGCAGACAATTGTTTCACACCTTTTTTCAGCGCAGACGCCATAGCACTGGGAACATGGAGTCCGCCCAAATCATCGCAGCAATTATGAGCACTATAAACACCGTGCACGTTATCCAGCAGGATATGCAGAACCATAACCTGCAAGAAAAGCGAAACCCAGGCGAGGAGGAGGCGACTGCAGCACGGTGACGAGAGTGAGGAGGACATGGACATAGACCTCTCTCAAAGTATGGGCCCCTGCAATGTGCACATCATGGTTTCAGTTGGGCAGGTTCATGGCATGGAACGCCAATTCTGGGCCCGGGAAACAAGCACAGAGTGGTGGGACCACATAGTGTTGCAGGTCTGGGACGATTCCCAGTGGCTGCGAAACTTTCGCATGCGTAAGGGCACTTCCATGGAACTTTGTCACTTGCTTTTCCCTGCCCTGAAGCGCAAGAATACCAAGATGAGAGCAGCTCTCACAGTTGAGAATCAAGTGGCGATAGCCCTGTGGAAGCTTGCAACGCCAGACAGCTACCGGTCAGTCGAGAATCAATTCGGAGTGGGCAAATCTACTGTGGGGGCTGCTGTGTTGCAAGTAGCCGACGCTATCACTGAACTGCTGCTATCAAGGGTAGTGACCCTGGGAAATGTGCAGGTCATAGTGGATGGCTTTGCTGCAATGGGATTCCCTAACTGTGGTGGGGCGATAGATGGAACCCATATCCCTGACTTGGCACCAGAGCACCAAGGCAGCGAGTACATAAACCTCAAGGGGTACTTTTCAATGGTGCTGCAAGCACTGGTGGCTCACAAGGGACGTTTCACCAACATCAACATGGGATGGCCGGGAAAGGTTCATGACGCTCGCATCTTCAGGAACTCTGGTCTGTTTCAACAGCTGCAGCAAGGGAGTTACTTTCCAGACCAGAAAATAACCGTTGCGGATGTTGAAATGCCTATAGTTATCCTTGCTACTGGCCTGGCATGGTAAAGTGTCCTACCATGGAGGACGGAATAAGGCTGCCCTCCCCAGATACCTTTTGCAAAGGCTTTGGGAGTACATCCAGGAGAGCTTTATAGAGATGTCCCTGGAGGATTTCTGCTCCATCTCCAGACACTTTAACAGACTTTTCCAGTAGCTGTACTGGCCGCAAATGCCAGGGCAAATTAATCATTAAACACGCTTGCTTTTAAACCATGTATAATATTTACAAAGGTACACTCACCAGAGATCCCTTCTCCGCCTTAAGGGTCCGGGAGCCTGCCTTGGGTGGGTTCAGGGGGTACTGGGTCCAGGTCCAGGGTGATAAACAGATCCTGGCTGTTGGGGAAACCGGTTTCTCCGCTTCCTTGCTGTGAGCTATCTACAACCTCCTCCTCCTCCTCCTCCTCATCTTCCTCACCCCCAAAACCCGCTTCCGTGTTACCTCCCACTCCTTGGACAGAGTCAAAGCACATGGTTGGGGTAATGGTGGCTGCACCCCCTAGAATGGCATGCAGCTCATCACAGAAGCGGCATGTCTGGGGCTCTGAACTGGAGTGGCTCTTTGCCTCTCTGGTTTTTTGGTAGGCTTGCCTGAGCTCCTTAATTTTCATACAGCACTGCTGCAGGTCCCTGTTATAGCCTCTGTCCTTCATGCCATTGGAGACTTTTTTTAAAATATTTTGGCATTTCGCCTTTTCAAATGGAGTTCTGCCAGCACAGATTCATCTCCCCATACAGCGATCAGATCCCGTACCTCCCGTTCGGTCCATTCTGGAGCTCTTCAGTGATTCTGGGATTACATGGTCACCTGTGATGATGAGCTCTGCATGGTGACCTGTGCAGGTGAGCTCACCACGCTGGCCAAACAGGAAATGAGATTCAAAAGTTCACGAGCCTTTTCCTATATACCTGGCCAGTGCATCTGTGTGGAGCACCCTGGGATAGCTCCCGGAGGCCAATACCGTTGAATTGCATCCACAGTATCCCAAATTCAACCCAGCCGATTTCAGCGCTAATCCCCTCATCGGGGGTCGAGTAAAGAAATGATTTTAAGAGCCCTTTAAGTCGATAAAAGGACTTTGTCGTATGGATGGGTGCAGGGTTAAATTGAGATAACGGTGCTAAATTTAACCTCAACTCGTAGCCTCAACAGGCCTAGGTGTAAATTCATTATCTGGGCTCACCTATTATTGTCAACACCAACATACTAGGGGGTGCAGTACCTGAAGGAAATTCTAAGCTATTATCAAGAAAATGTACCTGTTTTTCTCTCTGTGCAATTATTCTCCTACCATATACTTTATCAAACTCCATTTCTGGGATTGAGGCTTTTCACACTCCACACTTACAATTAATGTACATTGCTGAAAGCTGCTCTTAGTCACAGTTTGGATCACATTATGTTTGTGAGAGAACAGAAGAGAAAAAATGGTTCAGCACTAAGAAAAAATTGCTGGAAGGTTACCAGCTCTGCATCCCTTTTTTTTAAAAAAAAGAGGTAGTTAGTCTAGAATTAAAATTTCTCATGTTACGTCAGCACTAGTCAGTAGGGATTTAGACTGATCATGTAATCCCGCAGTCAATGGATTAACACTGGAGTTCTCTATAATTGTATCTGATAGCCTATATCTCCATGGTTTTCTATATTAAGATCACTTCACTGCCTTTGATCCTCAAATTTAATATTAAAAGTTAATCGTATTTAGAAAGAAAAGAGATTAAAGGAATAAATCCTTGTTTCAGAAGTAGATGCTGGATAGGGACAAACTTTAGACACATGAATATTACCGGGGTAGACCACTTCCATAATGTCTCCTAACCTTTAGGTAATGATGTTTGAAAGCACTGGTCTCTTCCTTTATCTAACAGAGCTACTGTAAGACATGTCAAGAGTTAAATATTGATTTTATCTGAGGCAGCCAGTGCAGTCTGGGGGAGCCTGCGGAGGAAGGATAGTCCAGTGGTTAGGACACTACTCTGGAACTTGGAAGATTATTGTTCAATTCCCTGCTCTGCCCCCGATTTCCTGTGTGACTTTGGGCAAGTCATTTAGGTTATGTCTACACTACAATGAAAAACCCACAGCTGGCACATGCCAGCTGACTTGGAGTTAAGGGGCTATTTAATTGCAGTGTAGATATTTGGGCTCAGGCAGGAGCTGCGGTTTTAGGACCCTGTCTGGTGAGAGGGTCCCAGAGCTCAGGCTAACCCCAAGCCTAGTCAGGGGGGACTGCTTGTACACAGCAGAACAATAGGGCTTGAACCCTGGGTCCCAGCTTGACTCAGGCTCAGACCCTCCACCTCTGTGGGGTCCTGTGATCCTGGGTTAGCCTGATTTCTTTGTAAATGAAAGGGGGTTAAACTTGAGCCTGAGTTTGACCAGGGGCTTACATTGCATGTAGACACACCCTTGCTTTCTCCATGTCTCAGATCCCCAGCTATAAAATGGGACTAATAATCTCCATGCACATAGAGTGCATGAGGATGGTAGTTGTAGGATTATCGTTTTCCCACTCACAGACCAGGTGTTCCCCCCCCCCTCCACAAAATACTTAGAATTTGTCAAAATGGAAGCCAAGAAATTTTCCAGTTCTCAGTTGCCAAAATAAAAATAAAAAAAAAATAGTGATGTTATTCCATAAAAATCCAAAAGTTATAGACAGAAAAGTGAAATTTTCATGAGAAACTCTGATTTGCTGAAAAGCAGTTTTCTATTCAGAATGCTTCCAGTCTCAGATGACTTCAAAATGGACACTTGTGTAGCTCAGAAAACCACAAATCACAGCTGGCTCTATTCTTTTCCTAATGTAATAGACACGCAAGTTGTAATCTACACGGTTGCCCTTCACAGCGAGTCGACAAAATGGTGCTGAGGGGCTTTGGTTTAATAACAGCTAGAGAACTTCCAGCTCTGGGACTATCAGCCCAGCACATTTCAGAAGCATTAACTCACATGGAGACAGATTTTTTTCAGAAGAGCTCAGCTCCCGTGAGGCACCTAAAAAATAAGGGTCAGATTTTCAAAAGTTCCCGTTGTGGCGTTAATGACCAGACTTTTTCTAAGGAGATCAGTGTCTAACATGCCGAGCTTCTTTTGAAAAAGAATCTAGCCACTTATTTTGATGCCTAAATGGGAACTGAGCTCTTGACAATCTGGCCTGTAATGTTTACAAAAGTTACAAACATTGGGTTGTGGCATGACTGAATGGAGAAGACTGATCCTGATCCTCAAACACTGTATTTGCATAAAGGGAAAATTACTTTGGCAAGGAGCAATACCACTGGTATTAGCAGAAATATTACATTTAATATTATATTTAATCCTGCATTAGCAGGACAGTAGACAAGACACCTTGCTGTAATAAGCATTTTTTATTTCTTCATTCGCTGATTCTACATGAAAGCTTAATGGGGTTTTGATGACAGAACATTTTTAAGGGTCACTAAAATGTGTTTGCAGTTCTTTAAGACATAAGATATTAATGTAATTCTTTAGGAGACAAAATCATATGGTAGAAAAAGGCTTGAGAAAGAAGGCATGTTTGGGAAAGTGTAGAAATATGCATCTCGGTGGCAACCCATGGAAGAAGGATGAAGGACTGAGTTTTTTGTTTATTAAATCCGTTGGGAAGACATTATTTCACTTACTCCATTTAAAAGTATTTGCTTACAAACATTAAAAGTCAACATTTTCAAGTGGCATCTAAAAATGCCCCTTACAGTTTTGGCAGGTATAAGTAAAAGTAAGTGTGTGTGCGCACGCACCCACTGCTAGCCACCTGCATTTGCACACATGGATCAGGTATTCATACACCTACCATCCCCAAGCACTGCATGTGCGTTTTAGAGGCCAGTTAAAGATGGAGAGCCAAAATTGCAATCTTCTTGAAAATACTTGTGGGTGCACTAAAGTATTGTAAAAACTCTTAAAACTTTTTCAGGGTTAAAAATATGAAGACTTGGATCAATGCTTAATGGTATCCAAAGTCAGCGGAAATGAACACCAGGACTGATTCTGATCTCACACTTGTTTAAATTGAGTTAAGTGGAGTTACACCTGTGTAAAAAAAAAGTGTAAATCAGGTCTGACTCATGCCTAATGTCTGAGGTTTTCTCTATTTACTGCAAGAATGGCAGTACCTAGAAATAAAACTTCCTGAACTTGTTTGTTGAATTTACTTTCATGAAGAATCATGGGCAAGACTCAAACACACTAATAAATTAGCATTTTTTTAAACAGAAGCTGTATGTATATTATTATTTTCCAAGTAATACTTTTTTCCAATTCAAACAAGCTATTTTCCTGTGTAACAGGTTTTTTATTTTTCCAGGATTTGGAAGAGTTACAGAAACAACTTACCTCCAGACTACTGAGTACTGAGATGTCGGGCGCTCGTAATTCAGAGTACCAGACCTTGGAAGACTTAGAAAGGAAAGAGAGGGAATATTCTGAACATATCCTAGATAATGTACCTATATCATTTGTATTCATCTCTGTATTTCTAATTAACATAGTTCTGTTGATAGGGGAGTCAACATTTTTTTCTTTGTGGTCACTACTTCAGGATCAGTGTTTTACAAGTCCACTCATTCTGAAAGCATGCGTACATTCATCTAGCAAAGTGTTTCTAACTCTGGCCAGCAACTAACATCTTTCTTTTCTGAACACTGGTTCTTGCACAATACACAGAGATGTCAAATGCTTATGGCTCTGTTGGACTAGTAAAATATTTCAAGCCTTTGTATAATATGAGCTGTCGGACCTTATCCCATAATTCTTATTATAATCTTACATTCTTTCCCCCACCTTAATTTAAATAGGATTTTAGGACTTGATATATCTTTTGAGCCACTAAGAGAATTAATTATATATCTTGAAAAGATGACTGGTACACTTTTATGTAAAAGATATTTCAGTTCAGGGTGACAGAACTGTATTTAATAATGTAATAGATTAATGCTGTATATCACAAAATCTCAGATTAGCTACATCTTCAGCACTTGTATGAAATGCTAGCTGTAGTGGTTCTCAAGACAAAGGCTGCTAAAATCATGTTGTAACTGAAGTGGCATTAGAGTGGAATAAGCAGGCTAGTAGTCAGAATTAAGTGATTCCTCTAGTTTTCATTTTTAGTGCATTTACTGTTTTTCAAAAATTGCACTGTTTAAATAAACCATACAGGCATAGACTCTAAACTCTTTTATACCCATCTGAGTTCAGTGGGATTGTACTTGTGCAATGAAGGCAGAATGTGGCCTGTAATATTTTTCCTTACATCTGATGCTCACTTGTACCGTGTAAAGTATGCACACTTCATAGATAAACTTTTTCAGTTGATATACTTAAAGTATTACTAACGCCTCAGTAACTCTTCTGGCTACACTGCTTTGCACAGTGTAACACGTTTAAAGTGCTTTTAAATGCAAAAATATAATTTTACTGTTGACATTTGATCCTCATGAAATGATAATTTTTCAGTTCAATAGCACTAGTGTGTCAAAACTAATTTCTGAGCCAGGAAACCTGGAGGTGGAAAAAGATCTTATTTATCTAGTCTGCTGGAAAATAAGAGGAGAATCTCTCAGACTGTCTTTTTCTCTCCCTTTTTTTTTCCAACATTTGAGTTAATGAGTATGAGAGACCAGTCATACTGGCTGGCTATGTATAAGCTTCCCCACCCTAATCTGTCAGTGCACTTTAGTCCTGACTTGAACAGCCCACATATCTTAGCCCTGGGCCTCTCTGACAGAGAAACCGACAGTAATTCTGACCTGTCTGGTAGTTTGTGAAATGTGCCAGCCAGAACTTCTATGATTTTCTATTTAATCTCTGTTCCTTTCACTTGATAACAGAAGTCCGGCTGACAGAGATAGAAGCATGTGACATTTCTTGTGAGACTGTGAAGGCAATTCTTTAAAGAACTGATTGTTTAATATTCTGTAGAGTTAATCATGTGTGAAACTGATATTATTAGTGTCATCTAGCCTTACTGAGCTCCATGGGACAAACCATTAGCTAATGTAAAATGTCATTTAATGGAGGTGTAATAATTTACATCAGATGAGGATCTGCCCCCATGTGTGGAGTTGCTCCTCACATCACAGTTACTATATTATGGAAAGATTCTCATTGACTTCAGCCACATCTGGATCAGGCACTTGAAGAGCACCTCTTTTCCCTCAGTACTATACAGTTTTTCCTTTCCTCACCATACACAGCAGATTGGCACCTCCAGAAAAAGCACCTAGAATGTCAAAGTACAATTCTTAGCTATTTTGGGGAACATTTAGTAGCACAAGTCCCGTTGAAAGTCAGGTGCCAGTCGCTATTCACAATCTCCCCCTTTATTATTATTATTACTATTACTAATAAATATTTATGATGATAGCACCTAGAGGCTCCAGTCAGGATTGGGGCACCCTTGTGTTGCAGCAATATAAAACCATTAGATGGCTGGACACTGCACAGACCTAAGCCCCTGTCCTGGAGAGCTTACAATATAAGGCCCTGATTCTACAGATGTACATGTGTTTAGCTTTGTACATGTAAGTAATCCCACTGAAGTCAATGGAATGAGTCACGTGTATAGAATTAAGCGTGTGCACAAGTATCTACAGGATTAGAGCCTAAAGCTGGTGATCTGTAGGTGGGGCATATAACTTTCTAAACCACATAATGTGCTTATAATTTCTGAGAAGTTAATATAATGTTTACAAACTGAACAGCTGCAAAAACCTCAGCTGTAAAAATCTTCTGAGTTTTAAACTAAAATCTTTCTAGACATGCACTCCCACGCTGCAACATGGTTAATAAAGTAACTTGTTAGAAAGTAATGACTGGCTATTAGCCTTTCATCTGTCCCCAATTGTACTAATTAGCTGAGAGGTCCCCAAATTGTGGGGCACACCCCCAGTGCAGAGGAATGCTTTGGGGGTGCAGCGGGCCTGGGCCAGCTCCCATGAGGGACTGGGAGGGAGCGCCACCCAGACCCCTCCTGCCGCAGCTCTGCTCCTGGCCCTAGACCCGCCCCCAGCTGCAGCCCCAGCCTCGACCCCCTTATCCCTGTCCATGTCCCCCCTGCCTGAGAGCCGCATCCCTGCTCCTGGCCCTGGCTCCAGGGGTGGGGGCGTGCGTGACTCTGAAAAGTTTGGGGACCACTGAATTAGCCTGTTTTTAGTGTGTTGTGTGTGGGGAGTTCTTTTAAATAGCAATCTTAAATAAAATTGTGTACACTAACCTCCATAAAGACTCAGAATTAGCCAACAGGTACCATACACTGGTATCTGACATTACCAAGGGTGCATCCCCATGTTTTAAAATATGAGATTTTTGTGAAAATGGTTTTGCCAAATGGTGACTTTGTAATGGGTTCATCTTGAATTACAATGATTTGCCTCCCAGAAAAGAACACCTTTCTGTGTTGCAGGGTAATTAATTTCTCAGGTTTTTAAATATTATGGGGGGGGTTAGGAAAAGGAGGAAATAATTGATGTGTTTTAATTCCTACTCTGCAGATGGAAGCTTTCTGGAACCAGGCAGACAAAGCCGAGCAGTTTCTCCTGAACCAATCAAATTGCTCAAGTGCCAAAAGAGGAAAGATAATGATGAATCTGACTGAGAGAATGATTGCAGTAGAAGGGTTATTAAGCCAGTCTCAGGATTTGCAAACAATGGTAAAGTACAAGAGGAGGGAAAGCTGAAGAGAGACTGAAACAGTCAATCCTAACTTAGAGCATAATGAGAATGTGTAATGTTTATGTCAGTCAGAGTTTATGAATTAGGTAGACAACTTACCAGCGGTGGCCTGTTTACTTTAACCTGTTATAAGGAGGCTAGCTTTCTTGGTAGTTTGTAAAAACTCTTAAATGAATGACCTCTCATCGCTTTGATTCTGATCCTGAAAACACGACTATCCAGTCGTGGTGGAATAAAAATGCTCTGCAAGATTTAATGAGAACAATGAGCAAGCAGCAAGAGCTATACCTAATGATGGGGAAGGGAAACATTAACCTGCGCATTGAGACCTCTTTTTAAAATGTACGTATTCCACCATGCCTGGATGGCCAGACTTCAGATTAAGAAGGGTTCCAAGTGCTCTCCTGACTTCCTTTGGAATTGAAGACCCTCAGCACCTCTGACTAACCTGGCCTTAAGAGAGGAAGCAGTAACATTTTCAAGTGTATTCATTTTAATGCAACAAAAAACACATACTGTTATGCATAATTAACATGTAATTGGACCAGATCCTTCTCAGTTATACGGGATATTAATGTGGAGTAACTCCACTGAAGTCACTGGAATTATTCTGGATTTACAGAAGTATAAATGAGATCAGAATCTGGCCCACTGTGGCCTCTAGATGCATTTTTTCACCCATAAAATATGTAGTGGTTAGTAGCTAATGATTTATGATTGTGCAATGTAGGAGTCAAATAAAACGACTCCTAAAATGACCCACATTGGCCAATAATCTTTATAGGTGGTCTCTCTGCACCGTGGTCCACAGAAAGACTTTCCTCAGTTGTGCCTGGTTCAATATGAATTATTTCTCATGTTTGGGTCCAACATTTAATAAGTTGTTCTGCCTGACATTGCCTTCATGGACCTTCTAGCTCTTTGGAGAAGGACCATCTTCTCCTTTAGTTGCTAAGGGTCACCCTGTTACGCTGTCTGGAGTTGCTCACGACCGCGAGTGCCTATCTCAGGGCAGACTGTCAAAAACAGGGCAGACATCCCAAACTGGTGGTGTTTTCTATAATTAGACTTCACCAACTCTGTAATGGATGTGAACTCCTGGATCACCGTAACAGTCTTAACATAGAGTCACAGAGAGTCCCCATAGACTTTCCAGTCTATCTTACCACCAGGCAAGCTGGACTTAGTGATACAGTCAGTGGTCACTTACACCAAAAATCACACACTAGTCAGGTTGCTTCGAGTCCCAGGAGAGCAGGCACTTACCCCAGATCAATTTGTATCTTAGATCTTACACCAAAGACAATGCCTGTAGCCAGTCCTGTAATAAAGGCTTATTAACTAGGTAAAAAGAAACGGTTAAAGCAAGCAGACATATACTCAAAGGAACCATCCATGATTCCTAAAGATGGCAGAGATGTGGTAATCTGTCAATTCAAAATATCCCCAGAGCAGACCCAGGGATAACCCTTGGGGATCTCTGCCTTTGTTTAATGTCTCTGGCTCTGTGACAGTTCAGACAAGCAAAGAGATGACAAATTTTCTTGTGACCCTGTTTTATCTTTTACATTTGGCCTTTCTATCCATGATATGAGCTCTCTTGCACATAGCATTTCCAAGGTGTGATAGGGCCATTCACAATCTTTTGCACTGTGATGTTTCTCAATGGCTGTTTAATCTTGATAGGCCTCCTTAATGGGGATGGACAACTCCCATACCTGGGTTCACAAGTTCATTGTAAACACTTTTAAAGTTATGAAGCATAACTTACATATTTCCTTATAGCATGGAATACAGCCATTACTAATGAGGTTAGTGCATGCAGCAACTTACGAGCATTTCACAGAGTCTAAACACTAACTACATTCTTTTAAGACTAATACCTATTTTGAACAAAACTAACATATAGGTGAGCTGGTTTGGTTTCCAGCTATGAGTTTGTAAGTTCTTAGCTAAAGCCTACAGCCTTGGGTAGAGCTGACACTTGGTTTACCAGCATCATGCACCCCTCCCCATCTCAAGCCATTATGTAAGCACCACTAACCTGAGGAGCAAGATTTCTTAGATGGGCTATGAACCTGGGTTTCCTGTACCATAGTGTAATGGAAGCTGTCAGTCTGTAATGGCTTTTATTTTTCAATCATTTACTGAGCTACACTGTTTTATATACCTTAAGCAATCTCAGTGTATTAGGACTCACTCCACAGTGGTATTGTAATCCTATAGCCGTGCTCATTCTTAAATGAAAACTGACCAGTTGGGCAGTATTTTAGGAGGAAAAAATCCTTAGATCTTATCCTTTTGCTCCATCTAGTGAATCTTTTCCCCCTCAGCATCAGCTTGTGTTCAACATTGAAATGTGCGGTGCTAACTTATTATTCATGTTGCTTCATTCATTTTAGATTTATTTTCATTCCTTAAGGAGCCAGGAAGCACTGGATGAAAAATTTAGACAGCTTTGCTTAACCCCTTCCATGGTGCAAGTGAGCACACACAATCAAATGAATGGGTCGTTGGAGGGCACAGTTTGTCTAGTGTCACTGGTTTTGTCTCTTGCATCATTCAGTATTGAATGGGTTAATGAAGGGCTCAGCATGTTACAGAGATTCATCACTCTGCCTGCACTTAATTTTTTACATAGTATTTTTGTTTTGTTTTCAGGACATTCAGGAAAGAATATTTAATTGGGAGCGAATGGTGAAAATGGTTGATTTTTTGAAGACAAAGATACAAGAAGAAAGTAAATGTAGACTAGATGCTGTAGCTGGCATATTGGACCAGTTAACTATAAAGAGCAACCTCTCTCTTTCGCAGAAAGAAGAGCTTTTAACAGGCCTGCACAAGGCCTTCTGGGAGCAAGTAGCACATTACAGTAACGGTAAGTACTTTTTAAACAGACATTTCCAACCTTCATCTTTAAAATTCATTGACTTATGAGCTTCATTTTGTTATTGACTTATTACTCTTCATGGCAAAGAGAGACAACAGTACATGAAATCTCACTCTTTCGAAGCATACTAATGGATGAACTAGGAATGCTGGCCCAGATGCTCAAAGGAATGGAAGTAAGGAGCCTAAATACCTTTGAGGATCTGGACTGCTGTTCCTAGGGAGGGTATATGCTCTGGAACAGGGAGTAAAGCCATCTAGGTCTTGTTCCTGGTTTTGCCACTGACTTCCTGTGTGGTCTGTGTAATCTCTCTGTGCCTCACTGTGCCCATGTGTAAAATGAATATAAGTTACATCAGCCTCATAGGGTGTCAGGGTTCCCTCCCCACTCTGAACTCTAGGGTACAGATGTGGGGACCCACATGAAAGACCCCCTAAGCTTATTTTTACCAGCTTAGGTTAAAAGCTTCCCCAAGGTACAAACTTTGCCTTATCCTTGAACACTATGCTGCCACCACCAAGTGATTTGGACAAAGAACAGGGAAAGGACCACTTGGAGTCTTGTTCCCCCAAAATATTCCCCCAAGCCTACACCCCCTTTCTTGGGGAAGGCTTGATAATATGCTCACCAATTAGTACCGGTGAACACAGACCCAAACCCTTGGATCTTAAGAACAATGAAAAAGCAATCAGGTTCTTAAAAGAAGAATTTTATTTAAAGAAAAGGTAAAAGAATCACTTCTGTAAAATCAGGATGGTAAATACTTTACAGGGTAATCAGATTGAAAACATAGAGAATCCCTCTAGGCAAAATCTTAAGTTACAAAAAGACACAAAAACAGGAATACACATTCCCTCCAGCTCAGCGAAGTTACAAACCAAAACAAAGAAAGCCTAACACATTTTCTAGCTAGATTACGTACTATACAGGAGTTAAATGGCTTACATCCTTGATCTGTTCCCGGCAAAGGTATCACATAGACAGACAGAAGCCTTTTTCCTCCCCTCCAGATTTGAAAGTATCTTGTCCTCTCATTGGTCATTTTAGGTCAGGTGCCAGCGAGGTTACCTTAGCTTCTTAACCCTTTACAGGTGAAAGGATTTTGCCTCTGGCCAGGAGGGATTTTATAGCACTGTATACAGAAAGATGGTTACCCTTCCCTTTATATTTATGACATAGCGGTATTGGGAGGGTTTTCTAATTAATGTTTGGTAAGGGCTTGGAAATCATTGGATAAAAGGTGTTCATACCATCATAGAGTTTAAGGCCAGTGGCGGTTGCATAAGTGCAAACCATTGTGTTATGTTCGCCTACCAGCAGATGGAACTGGAAAGTTTAAAACAAAAAACACAGTTGTGGCATCAGCCCTTTATAAAAGGCTATTCGGGGCTGATAATCGCAATTCAGTTCATCTCTCCATCTTGCTGAGGTTAAAGTGAGTGTTCAGACTTAGATTTTGAGGGATAAACCCGCCCCACCCAAAGAACTAAACTAACTTTGAAGGGGGGGGGCATTTTAGCTCTCTCCCCTCCCTTCCTCCACCATGAAATTTTGTTTAAACAGACAGGTATTTTGTAGCTAGAAAATCTGGAGCAGAATGGCTCACTAACCTGAAGTCCCTCATGCATTGCAGAAGCTGGGATCTCCCAACAAACTAATAACTCCTGGTATTCCAGGTTCCCCATTATGCTTTTCAAGGGCAGGATGAAAGAGCCTTGTTTTCATATATTCAGTGCCATACACATGCAGGACAATAGGAAGTGTAGGCCAATATTTTCAAAACTGAATAATAATTTTTGGAGCCTCAATTTTGGAGTGTGTAAATTGATATTGCTTAAGGAAGCCTGGCTTTAAGAAAGTGCTGAGTAGCCACCCTCTGAAAGACAGGACTCTAAGTTGTCTTAAGTTGGACACCCAATACTTCAGGCAGCTACAATTACTAGTAATTTGGAAACGGTGTCCTTAGACTCTGTTCATGCAGTCATGGTTCCCACCAGCTCCCATGTATCAAGGACCTGCATCTATTTGCAAGATGAAAACATCTGATCCTGCAGCTCACAGTTCCTTTGGCCCTGCTCTGCATTTTCACATCCCTTGGTGGGTTTTCACTATCTACAAGATTGAACCAAATCTTGTCCCCCTACTGCTAAGCCCATATGAATAGATGCAACACATGATAGTTCCCTACTCAATATGGATGAATGCTGACTCTTGGCCACAGAGCTATAGATGTCTTCCCAGCCAACTCAAGAAAGAGTGAGGGGGGGTCATGGAGAAGAGCACTGTAGTTTACTTTGCAGGCTCTTTATTGTTTCCCATGCCTCCATGCCCCATGGCTGGGGTATAGGAGGGGGTAGGGGACTTGTCCTGTTCTCATTAACAACTGTTCTACTTTGACTTAAATCAAAATACTTTGACAGACATATCTAACCATCATTATCGCTCTGCTCATCACGTGTGAGGAATTTATTACAGTTGTGTATTTGATTTTTTTTAAAACTGACTTTGAAGCCTACCGAGTTTTAACCATATCTTGGAGTGATACAAGTTGAATTTAGGAATCAGAGTTCCACTTTCATTAATGGGAGTTGTGAACCTGTGCATTGCTCTGAATATTTACCACTTTAAATAAAGAAAATAACAGAACGCCGCTAGCCATCACCTTCAGCCCCCAACTAAAACCCCTCCAACGCATTATCAAAGATCTAAAAACTATCCTGAAGGATGACCCATCACTCTCACAAATCTTGGGAGACAGGCCAGTCCTTGCCTACAGACAGCCCAACCTAAAGCAAATACTCACCAGCAACTACATACCACACAACAGAACCACTAACCCAGGAACCTATCCTTGCAACAAAGCCCGTTGCCAGCTGTGCCCACATATCTATTCAGGGGACACCATCACAGGGCCTAATAACATCAGCCACACTATCAGAGGCTCGTTCACCTGCACATCCACCAACGTGATATATGCCATCATGTGCCAGCAATGCCCCTTTGCCATGTACATTGGTCAAACTGGACAGTCTCTACGTAAAAGAATAAATGGACACAAATCAGATGTCAAGAATTATAACATTCATAAACTAGTTGGAGAACACTTCAGTCTCTCTGGTCACGTGATTACAGACATGAAAGTTGCGATATTACAACAGAAAAACTTCAGAAACAGACTCCAACGAGAGACTGCTGAATTGGAATTAATTTGCAAATTGGATACAATTAACTTAGGCTTGAATAGAGTCTGGGAGTGGTTGAGTCATTATAAAAAGTAACCTATTTCCCCTTGTTTATTCCTCCCCCCCACCGTTCCTCAGACATTCTTGTTAAACCCTGGATTTGTGCTGGAAATGGCCCACCTTGATTATCATACACATTGTAAGGAGAGTGATCACTTTAGATAAGCTATTACCAGCAGGAGAGTGGGGTGGGGGGAGAGAAAACCTTTTGTAGTAATAAACACCCATTTTTTCATGGTCTGTGTGTATAAAAACATCCTCACTTTTTTTCATGGTCTGTATGTATGTAAATCTCCTCACTGTATTTTCCACTTTATGCATCCGATGAAGTGAGCTGTAGCTCACGAAAGCTTATGCTCAAATAAATTGGTTAGTCTCTAAGGTGCCACAAGTACTCCTTTTCTTTTTGCAAATACAGACTAACACGGCTGTTACTCTGAAACCTGTCACTTTAAATAAAGAGTATCTAGTCAGTTAGGAGCAAAGGTTTAACATATCACAACATTATTCTGTATTGATTTAATTCCGTGTTTTGCCACAAGAGTATTTATGTCTCTCGTCCCCTTCATAACATCTTGATTCAGCATCCATTAAAGTCATGGGGAATCTTTCCATTCAACTCAGTGGGCATTGGGTCAAGCACCAAGTGGGGTAAGGTTGGAAGCTGGTTTTATATATTTATATTTGAAAGTAAATCCTTGCTGTCTTTGTTAAATGATTTTGATTCTAAAGTGATCAGTCTGGAGTAAAATCCTTTGTCTGCTAGCAAAGCAAATCTGGCTTTCTTAGGATAATTGATTCTTTACCTGCCCTATTGGCATGCTGTCCTTGTCAAAGCTCTAGGAGCTGAACAGCCTGAATGTATGGTTTCAGAGTAACAGCCGTGTTAGTCTGTATTCGCAAAAAGAAAAGGAGTACTTGTGGCACCTTAGAGACTAACCAATTTATTTGAGCATGAGCTTTCGTGAGCTACAGCTCACTTCATCAGATGTATGTATGTATGTAAATACTGAATGTAAATACTCTCACTGGAGAGTTGCTCGTATTCTCAGCTAGTTTCGAAGTGTGAGTTTTGCCATATCTAAAGGCCATCAATCCCCATTCCGCAGGTTTTGTCCTCTCTAAAAATATTGGTAAGTAGTCATATGAACAACAGTTTAAGCAAAGAGTTTAATGGATGCGCCCTGCTAGTTCTTTAAAAGGAGGACATATATGGCTACCTCGGGGCTGTTGTGTTTTTCTAAAAGTAAGCCCTTAAAGTTTGAGTTCATTCCTTTTGTTTTTCTCACAGTCGTATTTGCATTGCTGCAAGACAGAGATGCAGCTGATAAGGCCTTAGTTTTATGCGAAGTAGGTCCTTTTGTCCGCAAGAGTAAAATCTGTACACACATATTAAGCAACCTCCTGTATTAAAAGATTATCTCAAACTTCTTGCATACAAGCCCTCCCATCGACATAGAACTGTGTCACTCGGGAGGGGGGATTTTCCACACCCCTGAGCGACAAAGTTTTGCCAACATAAGTTTGTAGTGTAGACTAGGACTGTATTTCAAAATGTTTTTTTAAACCTCCAAGGTTAGTGTAGACCTTTTTAGGGGGTGGCGGTGGGGAATGGGCACTGCACTATCTGGATTTTTAATTAAGGACTTTAAGTGCATTTTCAAATGATTTGTCAGGGAATTTATGTTCGGCGGCAGGCTGATGTTTATAATAAATTAGCACTGGGCATGAGTAATGTGCAGAGTTTATATAATGCACTGCTTTATCTCCCCACAACAAGGAACTTCCCATAGCTAAAACACCTTGATATGGTGGCAGAATAGCTGCCACAATGTAACATTCATTTTCTGAATTCATCTTTAGCTGCATGGTTTATTTGGGGGACTAGTGAATTATTTAGGTATCTATAGGAAAAAAAGGTTAGTATTTTTTTGAGGGAGTTAGATGAATACCAGATGAAAAGACAGAGGTAAGGGAGGATTGGATAGCAGATGTCTGGATCTGCCAGGCAAACTCATCTGGAGCTGTGGAGTGTCTGAAAGTTAGGCCTCAAATATCTCAAGCTGGCACCCACCCCCACCAAAAAAATAAAACAAAAAAATCAGTGATACTGAAAGCTTTGGCCTAAGTGACTTGTCCAAGATCATGCCGCAAGTCAGAGGCACAGCCAGGAATAGAACCCTGAAGTCCTAGCACCCAGTCTAGTGCCCTATACACTGGACAGTGCTGCCACCCCTACAATAGCATATATTTATTTAAGAAATAAAAGTCAAACTGCTTGAACACAGGCTTTTTTTTTTTTTACCACTATATCCATTTTTAAACCAGAAATGAAAGTTCACACACTTATTTTCCCCAAATTATAGATTTGTAACACCTAATCATTTACATTTTATATTCCAGAATGTGTCCAACAAGGTAAAGACCTAATCGTGAAACTCCTGGCATGTCGTGCAAGGAAGATAAGAGAGCTCAAACAAGCTCAGAAGGATGAACAAGGGGATCTCCTCAGTAAAACTCAGAAAATAGGGGAACTCGATGAGTTTCTGAAGGTGACTGTGTAAAGATTTATATTCACTATTTGGTTTGTTTTAGGGCCATTGTAACGTTCTCTGAGGTTCTCCCAGTCCACCAGAACTGCCAGCTTGTGTTCTCATGACATGTCTTCAGTAGCCTAGGTCAGAGTTGGGGATGGGGGACAGGACTGCATAGGCCTGCCCCAAAATACTAGGGTTGGCTTTGCTTGTTAAAATTTTAAAGCCCTCTCTGAGATTGGGACTTAGCCACCTCTCGCTTGCTTGGGCAGCTGCCATGCTCCTAGCTCTTCTATAAACTTCCGGGGTACATAGAATCATAGAATATCAGGGTTGGAAGGGACCCCTGAAGGTCATCTAGTCCAACCCCCTGCTCGAAGCAGGACCAATTCCCAGTTAAATCATCCCAGCCAGGGCTTTGTCAAGCCTGACCTTAAAAACCTCTAAGGAAGGAGATTCTACCACCTCCCTAGGTAACGCATTCCAGTGTTTCACCACCCTCTTAGTGAAAAAGTTTTTCCTAATATCCAATCTAAACCTCCCCCACTGCAACTTGATCTCTGTCCCTCAGATCCGCCCCATGTAACATGGGGATAATAATACTCATGATGTGTTGTCTTTTGAGTTCTTCAGGGCAGGGAATCTCTCTTATTTTGGGTATGTACAGTGCCTGGCCTGGCAGAGCATGTCTGGGGCCTCTAAGTGCTAATGTAATACTAATAATAAGGAATAACAGTGCTGTGGTGGTACCCTCCATTGCTGTAGCAACTGCTGCAATGGGAACTCTCATACTGTGTCTGCAACCAGTGCCAAAAGGAAGTCCATGCAAAAGGCACCCTGAAGTTTCCACACTGTCAGCAGCACGCAAAGAGAAGGAGAGGATGCAGGGCCAAGGGTTGGTCTGCACTACAGAGTTAGGCTGACGTAAGGCAGCTTACATTGATCTAATTATGTCAGTGTCCACACTACAGCCTTGCTCCTACCGATGTAAGTGCCCTACCACACTGACATAATAAGCCCTATTCCTCTTGTGGAGGTGGAGTTATGGCGGCATAGTGAAGGCGAAGCAGTGTCTGGGTAGACACTGCAGGTTACTTACATGCTGGAGCCGTGAAATTGACAAGGAAGTTGGGCTGTCACCCCAGGATGGGTGGAGACAGCTAGAGGGTGGCTGTCTCCTAGCTCCCTGCGCCCAGCCAGGCTGGTGCTGAGGCTCCCCACAGGGAACAGGGAGCGTCCGTGTGGCTGCCAGGCTGCTGGCAGGAAGCGGAGAGCCGGAAGCCTCTGTGCAGCCAGTGGGGAGCTGGGAGCTTCTGTTCAACTGCTGGGCTCCCTGCCTTGGTGCAGCTGCTGGGCTCCCGGTGAGGAGTGGGGAGCTAATATCTGGGGGGGGGGGAGGGGAGGGAGACAGTGGGGCAGTCAGGCTTCTGGCAGGGAGCTAGGGAGCTGCACACAGAGCTGAGAGCCTAGGTTCTCAGCCCCCCACACTGGCCCTCTTAAGTTGGCAGAAATGCTCCTGGTGAGGACACACACCACCAACTGAAGGACGGTAGAGTGGACATGAACCACTGCAGTAATTACTGTGATGGCTGTAAGTCAACCTAACAGAGGTCAACTTACATTTGTAGTGTAGACATTCCCTAGGCTATTTCCATATTGAGTGGAAATCCTGTAGCTTGCTGGTGCTTGCCTGCCCAGCTCCAGCATGGAGCTAAAGAGCTGGCACTGGGAGAGGGACCAGAGCCTGCCTCTCCCAACTTTCCCGCCACCACCACAATAGGAAAACACACTCCTCCTCTTGGCCCCCTCAGACCATTTAGGACAGGCCAACACCAGTCAGGGAAGAGCTGCCATTCTCAAGAATCTATTCCCTAAGTGACCAGTCCCTACAGTCACCCATCCCGATAACCAATCTGCTGCTACCACTGACAGCAGAGGCTCTAGGATGACTTGCCTACCCCACCAGTGCTGCTGTGAGGAACAGCTGCCAGGTAGGGGGACACATCCAAAGGAGACCTTCTTCAGGTGCTGGGGACAGGGAACTTTGGTTGGTCAAGAGGAGTGAAGGAAATGGCTCTGGTGGGTGTGTTGGGTGAAAGGATTTGTGGAATTTGGGAGAGGAACAGGATGGGATTCAGTGAAGACGGGATGCCTTTCTGGAAGATATGCTTTAGTCACACACATGATTTTGGTCTCAGAAGGGTAACTAAGTGAAATTCTGTGGCCTGTATTATCCATGAAATCAAAATAGATGTTCTAATGGTGCCTTCTGGCCTTAAAAATCTATGCTGGAAGATTGTGAAGTAGAGGAGAATATTTAATGTCACCTGAGGGGATAATTGAAGGGGTCCCCTGTTAATAATTTTGGCAACACAGCACTTGGCAGGGCACGTTGCTTTGAATTAAGATTAGTGGTTGTTCATGGATACTTTGATTTAAGACATGGTGTTTTGATCAACAATTATATAATCTTACAGCAAAACTGGCAAAGTTAACAGTGATGTTATCAGAATGATGAAACCCTAAATGCTGAAAGCGACAGGACTTCTGTAATTGCTGAGAACTACAGACTTTACATTATTTTAAAATTCATCCTCAACTATCAGGGAAAGAAATGATTTAAGGGCAGCATGTCTACTTACTAAGATACCACCCCACAATATTAGATTGTTTTTTAAAATTAATAGAACAGTTTAAAATGTAAAAACTCAGCTAGATTGTTCGAGAAAACTTTTTTTCCCATTACAACAAACTGACAGATTTTGCTGACCTTAATGCTACAACTTCTTATTGCAGTCCAAGCTTTGTAATTACATTGTGTAAGTTAGATAATGCAATTACTATATTTTGTCTGCAGTGCTTCCTTGATGAAGTTTGGTTAAAGAACACTCTCCATAATGTACAGGGGGGGGAAAAACAGTGTAGGAGCAGGCTTCCAGCCATTTAAAAACACATGTGTATCTGTAGTGGAATTTTATATCTCTTAGGCTCTTTGTCTTGATCAAATATAAACAGTTAATTTTATTATGCAGTTTTCTATTCACTGGACACTTTAATGTTTGTTTGTACTCCTGTTTAATGGACTTCTTGGTAGACACCCAGAGCATGTTAACTGAAATTAAGAAATTTTGTATCAAGACTTTCTTCTGCAAAGGCAAGAAAAATTCAGTCGTGCAAAGAAAATGCCTTCATTTTTACATACCATAGTCTTACAAATAACTTTGTCATCTAACCAATAAATTGCATAGTAACAGTTGTAACTAATAATACATTTGTTGCAGGCTGGGGGATTTATAGCTGTTTGCCAATTTTTTCAGCTTTTGTATTGCAGCACAGGATATAAAACTATGATGTTAAGAAATTCCTCCATGAAATATAACGGAGCCATGAGATGCTCTCACCCTTCTGCCCCAATAGTGAAATGGGTCCTTGTGAGCAGGTGACTCTCTCCTCCACTCTAAGATAAAGTCCAAATGCTCTATGGAGCAACAAATGAACCACCTTCCTTCGGTATGACTTGATTAACAACCAAATAAGTTATTCTTGTTAATACTATGCAGTAGCTTAGTGGAAATTTTCATGCTTTGTGTTCAAGTGGTTGCAAGTTCAAACCTGTCTAAGCTGTCACAGAGATGGTGAATATTTATTTCCCTCTAAGTTTATGTCCACACTTCAAGAAGGATGTTGAAAAATTGGAAAGGGTTGAGAGGAGAGCCATGAGAATGATTAAAGGATCGGAAAACATGCCGTATAGTGAGAAACTAATTAGATTGTTTCACAAGTTTATCAAAGAGAAAGGTGACTAGACAAATTCAGACTAAAAATAAGATGCAATTTTTTTTTTTTTTTTTTAACAGTGAGGGTAATTAACCAGCAGAACAACTCAACAGACATGGTAGATTCTCCATCAGTGGAAATTTTAAAATACAGATTGGATGTTTTCCTAAAAGATATGATCTAGTTCAACCTATTCAGCTATTGGATTTGAAGCAAGAATTGATTCAGGGAAGTCCAGTGGCATGTGAGATGTAGGAAGTCATATGAAGTCATGTGAATTCTTCTGCCCATTCTGCCCATACAGTCTGTCTTTTGATTGTAATGATATATGACTAAGTATGTGAGCTACTATCATCAGCATTACCTAGGATTAGTGCTGCTTCTTTTTATATTGAGTATAGTGCCCATGAAAGGTGGACAGACTGAAAATACTAGAAAGTGAAATTATCAGTTCACAGAACAGCTTTGTATACAGACTGGTAGACTAAACATGTCTTCTGTGACCCACCGATTTTTCTCAACCCAGTTCTGGAGTGATTATCTCTTTGGAGTGAGACAGTAATTCAGACTATGCTGATTTAACCCTTTCTTCTTTGCTAAAGACTTTTTTGTTGACACCTGCCTACTTTAAATAGGTACAGAAATCACCAGTTTACTTTGTGTAGGCCAGTTTTCAGCTATACTGTACTGTACTAATGCTTTTCAGTCCTTGCTAATGATCTTCTACCAGTCAGCTAGGACAGCTTTTTCCCTACTAGCTTTTACAGTATTTGGATCCCTGATGCTGCCAAAAAAGTACCCTTGCTTTATTTGTCAGTCAGTAGCTTTCATGCTGACCATAGTTTCAGCTATTTAAAACACATATTTTTACACGGTTTTTTCCCTATTTTATTTCTATTAATCTTAGGCCTGCCATGAAATGTTAGAGAAGCAGAGACAGACACTGCATGATCTGGAAGAAGAGGATGACTGCCAAAGCACTGAGGCCGTTGCAGAGCTCCATCAGGTGATTTGTGCTAATGGCTGCGAAAAGTCTGAAAATCTCCAATCCAGTTACAAAATAGAGCTAGACCTCAGGCATAGAAACTTCAGAGATTTATCATTCATTTGATATTCTGCAGCTTTCCAGAGGCTAGGTTAGTGCACTAATGGGCTTGGGATTTAGTCTTTTACTCTAGGAGACCTGGATGTCACAAATGAAAATGAATTTGGTCTCCTCCTAATCTGTGATAGATGTGGGGTTCCTAGCACTCTAGATGAAAAACACTCATGACTTATTCTCTGACCACAAGTCATCTCTTGGTAATATAAGGGAGAACTTTCCTTTGTAGACTTGCAGAATGTTTCCTCTCTAAGTGACCACACACCTTTATGCTTCCACTAGAAACGTTTGCCTACACAATCTCCCAGGGGTAATTAGAACTAGGAAACATTTTTAAATACATGTCTACCTTGCCAGCTTACCTTGGTTTGGATCCTGTTTGCATAGTATATCAAATGAGACAACAGCTCATGCCGTGGTAGACCAACTTGCTACAACAGCCTGCCACCCTATAGTGCCTGCTCCCCTTCTTTCAGCTTGCAGTATTCAGCTAAGAGTATAGCCAAGTGGTGAACCCATCAACCAGGGGACTCTGCAATCACAACAGCAAACAAGGCTTACAGCAGGAAGGCACCAGTGCCAGATACAAGGCAGGAAAGGGAAAACGCATCTCATGCCCTAATACTTTTCCCAGATAAGGTGCTTGGGCAGGGGTCGGCAACCTGCGGCACGCGTGCCAAAGGCAGCACGGGAGCTGATTTTTTAGTGGCACTCTGCTGCCAGCCGGGGTCCCGGCCCCGCTCAGCCCGCTGCCAGCCTGAATAGACGGAACCCCAGGCCGGCAGCTGGCTGAGTGGGGCCAGTGGCCAGGACCCTGTCTGCCGGCCCCTGCCAGCCGGAACCCCAGATCGGCAGCACGCTGAGACACTCAGCCCACTGCCGGTCTGGGGTTCCATCTGCTGCCGGCACCGCTCAGCCCGCTGCCAGTCTGGGGTTCCGTCAGGGGGCCCCCGTAAATGTAAAATTTATTACTGGCATACAAAACCTTAAATTAATGAAGACTTGGCACACCACTTCTCAAAGGTTGCCTACCCCAGTGCTAGGGTGACCCCAGTCATAGAGGAAATGCAAGAGAGACAAGGAAAGCATATGAGGCTTCTTGATTTACTGATAAAGCTCTAGGTACTGAGTTAATTTATTCACAGTGTTGGTTCACTGACACTTTTAAATGAGGATCTGAATTTGTAATATTTAGTATTGGTCTTGCTAATTCGAAATTGTTGTTATTGGCGAAGTTTTCATGCTTTGTCATCTTGTTATTATGTGTGTAAGATTAATGCTATCTAATGGTAGCAAAAATCAGTGACCTTTGATTGAGCTGAAAGTGATTAGTTGTAGTCTAACAGGCTCTGTTTTGATTAATTGTGACCAGTCTGGTGTGTCACGGATATCTTTTGACCATATCACACCTGGTTTCATGGGCATCTTAGTAAATGCTAATTATAGGATTGTGCATTTGTTTCACTTTATCAGAGTTTTCATTGCCCTGTGCATTTTTTGTCTATCAGGTTTTGATAAAGTTTGAAAAAACTGAGCAGTGGCACTGTAGTTAGTAGAGGATGAACGCCTGCTGGAGTAAGTTTGTGTAACGGTTCTAGGAAAAGTATATTGGAGGAACAAACTACTCATTCAGAATGGGGGAAAAATGGTTTGGATGGTTGTGTTTGTGAATCTGAGTAGGTGCTTTCTTCCGGTAATTTTTTAATTTAAGAAGAGCAAGTCAGCATGTCTACTGGTATTACATGTGATATGTATGCTCTGTATAGGAGTCATTAACCTTTGTCATTTCATTTGATGTCCTTAGCATCAAAGATATTTCCCCCTGAACACAATACTTATGGAAGTTGTATTCCATTATTGGAAATTCTACTTCACGGACATTTTAGGACCAGCTTAAAATCCTATTTCTTGCAGCCTTGCTTTTGGCTAAGTTTTGTTTTCCATTAAAAATATTTGGGTGAATTAAATGTTTCTAATATTGACAGGCTGACAGAAAGCTCCCTCTCACTCAGCCATAACCTGCTATGTTCTATACTGTACCTGCTATTCCACTCCTGGGTCCGTCCTGAGTTAAGACTGCCAGTCATGTAAAACTAAAGCAAGTTCTTCAATGGTTTAGCAAACTGACTGATATCTACCAGGAATTTACATTCAGGAAACTAAACTCACATCTGTTTTTACAATAAGCATCCTTTTATCCGTGTCCATCAAATGTGATCAGCTAATGCATCAATATCAAATAGTGGTCCCCCTCGCTCTCCTAGGCATAGCTGCTATTGATCGTATTAAAAGGATGACATCAGAAAGTACACTACATAAGAGGCATAGGCTGTGAATGAAAAGAAACTTACTGTACTCTCCAAAAGCTTTAAGAACTGGCTTGATCTTCAGCTGGAGTAAACCAGTGTATCTCCACTGAAGTCAAACAGAGCTACCATGATTTCCACCAGCTTGAGTGTACAAGGCATAGTCGTTATTAAAAATGTCTATTACCTGGGGCATGACACAAAGGCAAAGGAGAATCCCAGGGAAGAAATTATGACTCAGAGAAGCACAGTCTCTTCTCCGTTTCCTCTCCTCTCCTCTCCCTCTGTTGCACCTCTTGCTCCAGGGGAAGAGTAATTTATGCAGTTCCTTTATCTTGGAATCCCAGATGCTTTGGCTAGCACGTTAGAAAGCCAGAATCAAGGCTCCCCCTGCCCACGCTCCACTGTCTTGCAGATGCCATGCACAACCCACTCTCCCACCCATAATGCCTGGAAGTGAGGTGCTGCAAGGCTGCCTAGAGGAATGAGGGAGCTTATTCTCCTGCGTGGCTGTGCTACGGCCAGGCACAATCAGGCCCTTCATTTCCATTTTGCCATTGCCATTCCATGATATCTCCACACTCCTTCACAATGCCAAGACAAAGATGGCATGCATCACCGAGGCATGAGCAAGTGAGAGGCTCAATTCAAGAGGTGAAGAAACAGTCAAATAATTAGTTTGTTGTTCAATTAAAACTTCACCTTTTTCTAAATGCAAACGTACGTTACAAAGGAGGGTAAAATAGTAAAAAATTGCTCCAATCTATTTAATGAAAAGCAAACAAAAGTCCTCTTCTCTCATTTGATTTTTAGAATCTTGTTGGAAAATGAAGCCCAGCTACATTCATGAAAGGTTAATAAGTGTAACCCACTGGTCACTCAGTTACATGTCCTCTTCTGTGCCTCATTCACTGGGGATGTGCGTCTGTTACAACTCTCACATCTTCTGTGGATCGGACACAGAATGGGACACAGTGCAAAGTGACTAGTGTATTACATTGCTCAGTCCAGAAGAAATATGTAATCTGGTCCTGACCGTTTGAGGCTCACAGCAGTGTGAATCCCAGACAAGACACCACTAATGCTGGCTGCGATCTTGGCTCACACCACAGATTGAACCAGGGACCCTCAGAGCTAGAGGATTGAATCTCAGCAGCCCGGCCATATTTAGGGAAGGTGGAAAATGGCAGTAGAATCATGCCCTTTGTCATGTAAAGCCTGGCAGAGTCTGCCATATTGAACAGGGTGGTTGTGTTTCTTCTCTTTTTAAAGTGTTTGAGAGTGAATTAAGGTTTCATTCACCACAGACAGCAATACAAACTTCCCCTTGGCGCCCTGCCTGGAGGTGCCTCAACCTGGACCATCTACAGGGATGGGAGGAATCCAGTGTACATAATCAGACCTTTCAGTCTATGGCTGCTAATTAAAAACCCTTAAGTTATTTTTAACAGTCCTCCTGGAATTCAGAGCCAGTTTGGATGATAGTTTGAATAAAATAGACAGTAATCCTTTAGGAAATGGACAGATTACAGGAATCACCATATTGGATCAAACTCATGGGTCCATCTGCACCAGTATCCTGTCTCTGACAGTGACCAGTAGCAGACGCTTTGAAGGAAGGTGCAAGAAATCCTGCAGTCATATAGACTCATGTGGTTTCCTGAGGGACAATTTCAGCTGGTAAAAATGCAATGACTTCTGGCCCTGGCAGTTTTTAAACCAGTGACCTAATGGCACAAAGGCCTCTGTTCCACTATTAATTATCTGAACCATCCAACCCTGCATTTAAACAGTTCATTAAATGTATACTATAGACTGTTTTAAGCCTGAAGGAATCCGCCAGGGAGGAGGCAGAAGGCTAGCGACATGGAGCTATCATGCTGATTTTTTTTTTTTAAGAAGCTGCCGGTTCTGCCCTTTCTGATCAGCTCACTGGCTTCTGCATTTTAAGAGTCTGTTCAGTAGTGTGGTGGTTTGCAAGTGAATTGCCAGTCAAGCCATAATCCCTTACAACAAATGGGAGAAAGGATCTGGCATTTATTGTGGATAGACAAGCTAAACATGGTAGTCGATATGGAGCCCGTCTGCCGGATGCTCCTGTCGCTTACAGTTTTATACCGATGCAACTGTTCAGTTCAGCAGTTCCTCCTGATTTCATAGATGCTGGAACTAGGAGTGCTGGGGGTGCTGCCGCACTCCCTGGCTTGAAGTAGTTTCCATCGTATACAGAATTTACAATTTGGTTCAGTGGCTCTCAGCACCCCCACTTGTTCCAGCACCTCTGCCTGATTTACCTTGGTATACATGAACAGAGAACCTGTCCCATAGATTCAAGATCATGCAGAATGACAGGATAATCTCTATGCGGGTATTGGCGTTAAAGCGTTGTGAAAGGGGAGCGCGAGTTTGACTGAATGACCTCCCTGGTGACTAGATGAAAGAATGTCAATTCATTGTACACGCCACTTACTATTTCTCATAGCTAAGCCCCTCGTTGAGGTGGGTTTTTTTAGAGTGCTGGGAGAGAGCTCTGCTGCGTTCCCTCAAAGCGTGTTAAACCGCTGCCATGGCGGCGCTTTAGTGTTGCCAGTGTAGGCT